TGTAAGATGTGGCCCTGGCCCCTTCAACTCACAGATGCCTCCATCAGCTGGAATTACAAAGTCTGGGAAGAGTAACATTGGTCACTCAGAATTGTGTAAAAATGTGTATCAGTAATGAGAAATTAAAATGAGATGACAAATTTTAGAGGTAAATTTTGGGCATTTATCTATTTATTTAGGAAATTCAGTGTGTACAAGATTCCAGCAGACATGGTGAAAAGGACTTATCCCTGCGGTCCCCTGGACATGGTGAGTGACAAGTCACAGAAGATGTAGCCTGAACAGAAGGTTGGAAATCTGGGCACACCAAAAGCCAAGCACTAGAAGGAGACTGGGCTCCATCAGGAGAGAACAAAAATAAATAATATCGAATGCAAAATTATACAAATCTGAAAGATTTCCAGCTTGTGGGCGGCACAGGAAGTTAAAATGACGCACTGGTGTCTGCAGGTATGCCAACTCTTTGGAAAGATGTAGGAATAAGCAACAAGACAGCTGATGAGTGACATTACAGAAAGAATTACATGATCACAAATAGGACTTATACAGATATAAAAAGGAAAAACAACATACGTACTTTTTTTTTTTTTTTTGTGAAGTTCTGCCTTTATTGTATGTTGCTAATCCCACATCTGGTCACAACAGCTAGAGATCACTGCTGGACCATTTTGCTGAGCTTTGTATGAGTATGCATAGCCACATGAATCCTTATTGATACTGTAAAGCTCCTTACAGAGCTTGTTCTGAAGCTGACACTTACTAGTTAAGGTTGGGCTTTCCTTTCCTTATGCCAGAAAAAACAAGAGTCACCCTTGTACTTGTACTCTGCAATCGCACTGAGCCTCCCAATGGATAACAGTGCATACAGCTGGAGTGAAGAATAGAAGGCAAACACCATTTCTGATTTTAAATGCATAATCAAATTTGCATCCAATTTCCATGCTTATTAAAACAAAATAATTTGTTTCTCTCTGCACATGAAGTGTTTCACTCCTCTAGCAACAAAGAGGGTTGTTTCAGTCAGTCTGGTAATCACAGGTGCTGGTTAAAATCCGTCAAGCATGTCCTGATGGCTGAAAATAAGCCATGCAGGACCCAAGTCTGCAGCTGTGCATTTGACGAACCTTTTGAGCTTGTTTGCCTAAAAGAGATGATTCACATCTGTCACCTGTCACGTGCAGTGAGGAAAAGGGAGACAAAGGCATGGGCAGCATCCCTTTCAGAAGGAGCAAAGCCTACAGTACAGAGCAGAGAACATGAACATGCTTCCTACTTTAACGCAGCAAACACTAGAGACCATAAAACCAAAATAGTCCGTCTTCCTGTGGTTTACTTAAGTGTCTATTATTTTCTTTTGTGGCTAATAGTAGGAAGGTCTGAGTGAAAAGTTGATGCTCGTTTACCAAAATGCTATGCAGCAATAAATAAACAAATAAAAGTAGCCAGAGTCACTGTGATAAGAGATCTGTGAAGAAATTGGAGTCTTCATGATGGGGATTTAATTATTCTAGTATCGACAAGAATGAGAATTAAAGGAGGAATCAACAGGCTGACTTCCACAGGCAGTAAAAAACAGGTTTATCTTTCACTGTTTATTGAGCTCTTAGATATGATAAATTCAATAATGGTCTGGTGGGTGTTTCGTGCTTTATGATAATATATCACTGGGCTTAAAGTAATCATGGTCTTAGGCTATGAAGGTAACAAATAAGACTTCAGACAGTGTCGTGTTGTTAAGCTCAAATATTCCCAGAAAGATGGTAGGAGAGGAGGGGGGAGAGCAAGGGAAAAGAAGTGATATTTAAAGCAAACAGAGTAAATAATACAATCATGTTGATCCCAGTAATAGCAAACAGTTAAAAGTGATAATGGAAGTTACTGAAGTAAAGCAACAACATATCAAATACAGACAGAAAGCAATTACAAAAGGTATAATAGAAAATTGAAAGGACAAGCTAGCTGATGTAAAAAGCTCACAAAAGCTCTGTAAAACATTCAAGGGGAAAAAGTTGCACTTGCTAATAATAATCCACAAAGGCTCAGGGAATGCTAATTAGCGAAGAGCTGCTCTTTGTGTGTACAAGGACATACAGGCCTGTTCCAGGTTTAAACAACTGAATGACAGAGATTAAACTCATTGTTGTTCTTTTAAAAGTTAAAAAAATCACAGTGTTCTGGCATCAGCCAGTAACGAAACAGAAATAGATTTCCTGGATTTTCAGAGATTTTCGAAGGCCACCAATCTATCTATAAGGAAAACATGACTTAGTGCACATTACATGGACCCGCCACTCAGCGTGATTTGAGCCAACACCACTGTGCACAACTCGGGAAATCCGATTGCCTTCGGGCTTTGTCTATGCTTCACATTTTATTGCACCTACCTTTGCAAACTCAGTTTAAATTACTTGTAGACTAGAAAAAAATAGAAATACGGATACCACACAAAGTAGGGAATACTGAATAGGAGACAAAATCATCGCAGGGTTCAATTATCTGTTCAGTCTCAGCTTTCACAGATGAATCACTTACATGTCTAGTAGGATTTTGAACAGCACTTTACCTTCAGAATCCTCACTGTCTGTTTTCTTAGCACAGGGCTGAGAAGGGTGCTCATTGCTTATTATGACAGCTGTTTCTATCTGAAGAACAGAAATGCACAAGGACAGCAGCAGGAATCAAGTTGTGGTCACAGATGGTGTGGATGGGTGATACTGAAGGCCCCCGGTGTTCCCTTTCTGTTTTCATAGTGTAGACGTATTTGCCGATAGAAATCAAAATAAGGGTAACACCATGGTACTGAACTGCCAAAGCAGAGGGTGTTCTGTCTGATCCTGCTGTCAGCCTTGGCTAAACTCATTTTATTTTCTTTCTTTAGTGGGATAGAGAAGCTTGCAAGGATCATACCTATTCGCTATGTAAAAAGCAGCCTGCAAGGAGGTGGGGAGCCCCAGCCAGTACATCGGTGCATAAAGCAGGGACACTCATTTCAGAGATTCCCTCCTGAAATCCTATCCTCTGCAGGCAGAGGAACACCAAGCTGTTGACCCCTCAGGTACTTCACCCTGTTCTGCCCCAAAGAGATCTGCAGAGCTAATCTCACCGTACATTATCTTTTTTTCCCTAACATGATTGTAATTTTAAAAAATGAACACTTACTTAACCCCAGGGATCTATTGACAAATATGTATATTACTAAATAGTACCACTTAGCAAATATAGAAACTTAGACTTCAAAAAATAAAGGCAACAAGGACTATTGTAAAGAAACGTGTGCTTCTCTACCCTTGCTGAAAAGGCTCATTCCCCCATTTTTAGTATTCATTCTCTTGCACGTTTTTGTTTTTAAATTGCTGCATCTTTACTTAACAACATTGTTGCTTATGCAGAAAAAATACTTTTTGGAATCTGACTTCATCTGACAGCCATAATAAAGAGAATGCTTTAGAAATTAAGCTGAATCATCTATATGGAAATTGTAAAACTCAGTATTAATGATCCATTTCATTCTTAAACAATAGAATTCTGTGCATCACTGATGAGACAGCCAAATATACGTAATATTCATTGTTGCTTTAAAAAGAAAAGTAAGTAACATGCAATGCTACCTTCATCCAGAAGGCCTTATTCTCCTTTCCAAGATTCAGATGGTTGCCTGTATTCAGCTCTCTATGTAAATGAATTAACTGTTCTTTCACTATTATGCCTGCAAAAAAAGAATACAAAACAGTGAGCCTTGAGTGTTTCCTATTAAGAGTCAACATCTAAATGCTAGTCCCATTTTGCATGTATTAATAGAAATAATTTAAAGTTGCAACAATGAAAACTGAAGCTGCTTTAACTGACATTTTCAGTAGGAAATACTGCAAAGGCCAGTCCAGCTCTTATTGGTCTTGGTTTTAAGAGTACAAAATCAACTGCAAACCTTAGCCAGGCAGAGCCAGCAATACCTACAAACTCACTTAAGAAGAGTGCAGAAGGTAGTTCTAAACTGAACCCCACTGTTTCTGCACTGAAAAGCCCAGAAATACAGTCACACAGAATAAATATTGTGTAGAGCTGCATGCTGTTACACCAGCCCTGGGGCTGTGGGATGAAGGGCTGTGAGAGCTGCAGAGGTCCCCAGGTAACACCCAGGTTCTGAACTGAGCAGTTGGAGGCAGAAGTTTGCCCATGCAGACCACCACATTCATACAAATATCTCCTCCCAGTGTGTTGGGCTGGCATGCACACATCTCGATCTATTTTTGTTTTATCCATGTGGCTCTGGGGATTTGAAAGACCACATTGCTGATTTTTCTCCTTGGCTCTGTATATCTGATTATTGGTTTCTAAATATAATTGGAGATATTGATTTCTTGACATTTAGTACACAAGTTCTGCTTTAGAAAATTATCCCATGCATCAGTTTTCACTGTGTTCTCAAATAGCACCCTAACTTCTCTGCCAAGTGAGAAAGAACAAGCTATAGTTTTTGCTAGGAACACTTCACTTCAACAAACCTGGGGCTGGAAGCAAGCAGGCCACCGTTGTGTTGCAGAAGTGAAAGAAGAGAATTTGAGCAAGGCACCAGGCAAATCCTAGTGGCAAAGCGGTCCACGCAGGAGAGGCGTGGGCTCATGGTGACTATTCCCCTTTTAGGCTGCTCTATGCCTCAGCCCCACCACTGCAAGCCCATCTCTGCTCTGCCACATGTGTGCTGAAGTCCCAGGAGCTGTTCTGTGCACCAACACAGCACAGCCCTAGCTGTCCTTACCCTTTCAGGCTCACACATCTCATCAGCATATACAATTTTTCTGGACAAATCAGTATTGGGATAAAATTACTTGCAAAAGTCTGGCACAAACCCATTTTCTGTACTCATGCACTCAGACATTTTGTCTCTCCCAACTCACTACTGCTGTCAGAGGCTGCAAGAACTATTTACAAAAGCTGATCCTGAGATCTTCAGTTAGCAAGGGAAAATGGATGTCACAAACCAAATTGATTCTGTCAACAAATTAGCAAGCATTAATGCCTTTTTATTAACAGCATTCCCAGTGTTTAATGTCAATCATCAGCAAGTCCCACAGTTCAGAGGTCAGAATATCCCGTAGTCCCTCAAGTCAAATGAAATCTTCATTTCCTCCTCATACATTTCCTCCAAGTAGCAATTCCTTTATCAACATTCACCAACCTAAAATAAAAGTGTATTAAAAGGGTACAATTTATTACAAGTCCTCCAACAGTTTTTCCCCATGTATTTCATCACAGCAAAGTATAAATTTCTAGGTCATTAAGTTGAGAGCATGATAGTTTATTAGAGCTTCATCTCAAACTGTATATATACATGCTTTTTTGACATCCTTCATTTTTATGATGATCTTGGTAAAAGTTCCCTCAGATTGTGTTGTACAGATATGAGTTCAAGAAGAATGATTACCGATTGAAGTTTTAATTATTTAGGTCCAAACTAGTGCAAAATACCAACAAAAATACCAAAAAGCATTTTGCATCCCGTTGTCTAAGGTAGGGATTATACGCTTTAATATTTAAATGTAAAGGGACTTTATGTCAAGTACAATAGAAGAGAAACATTGCCACTTACTGGCAGTACCAATGTCTTCACAATAGTTGTAGGCATTTATATGCATCTTTCAAAAGCTCTATTAACCTTTATATTATTTGTCAATAAAAAGCCCCATTAACATTTAAACTGTGTATGTCTAACTGTCTGTTTCAAACAAGAATCAGAAGATAACCTGTTAAGAAACAGGCTATTATTTATTACAGTCTACATTATCGGAACTGCACATGTTGGAGATTTCCAAAAGCTAACATTTCTTCAAGTAGTTTAAAAAAACTCCGTCAGCAGTTGGCAAAAAGGCTCATGGCCTGAGCAGGAGGATAGACAGATACACAGATAAATGGGTATCACAGACAGCATGGTACAACTTTGGAAAGAACAGTACAACCAGCTTGAGCTATTTCAGAAATGCTGGAGGTCTAAAGAGATCGCACTGCACATGAACTTTAAATTTAAACACTGCTTTTGCAGTAGGATCAACAGAACTTACCTGACATTAACAACTAATCTTACCTGACATTAACAATTTGTCTTTATTGGGTAAATACATGATTTTAATCAAAGAAAACATATTCACTGGGTAAGAACTGAAATCACAGCTATGCAAGTAACGGACTCTTCAATCAAGCTGATGAACTGGAAGTGCCAAGGACGTAACTTATCAGTTCATGCATATTCCCTAGAACTTTGTTGTTTCAAGTACCACTGATTTAGTAAAATACCTGTGTGCTGCTTCTCTAGAGCAAAGTGGGTATTTTGAAAGGTAAGGGAAAATGTTCCCAAAATATAGAGACTGAAAGAGAATTCAAGCAGTTTTGTTGTTTTTTTTTTGTAAAAAGTGTAAAGCCACTGCTTTTACAAATCATTAATGGAAACAGCATGACTCATTCCACTGAAGAGAAAAAGAATTCACTGATCGTCTTCAAGTATGGGAGATACACTCACAGTAACAACAGAGGCATTCATTACTTTATAAGGAAACCTATAGACTCCATAGAAAATTTACAACCAAAACGGAGCTAGTGTGACAAATAGTGCTCAGGCAGCAACAACAACAAAAAAAAAAATAAAGTTCACAAATTTATCAAAAAATGCATTTCAGTGGCTTCGCTTCCCCAGGATCCAATCTGATGGAGCGTCACTTCATGTAATCATCCCTTTCACCTCACGTCCGTCTTGTCTTCTGTTTTTTTGTTTGTCTTTTTGCATCCTCTTGGCCACCTGTGTCAGAACCCGTCTGTCCAAGCGCACGTACTCCTTGCAGCCGTGTCGTCAGTTGCAGCAATAAGGGAATAAGCTAGGACAAAAAAAAAAATAAAAGGGAATCAGCTCGTGATTTCAGTGACATGTAAGGTCTGAATGGTAATGTTATTCAGACACATGCATCCCCAAACAAATAGAACCTATTGCATAAATAGCATGTCTATGTGTTTTGTTTTGTTTTTTCCAAGAAACATCAAATGAGAAATTCAAAAATGCAAAGGAACTCAAACTTTACACTACGGTTTTCTAAAGGAAGGTAATTCTTCAAAAACTTGGCTACACTCTGTCTTTTCTTGATATGTGTCACAAAAGGTGATCACTAACTCCATCTCTGAATATCCATCACAACCAACCTTCCCTTAACACAGTACACGAAGAATTCATGGATATTCCTCAAAAATAGTATTTGAGTAAGGACAGAAAAATGTGACCTACCTTATCATGATTGTACCCAGCCAACAACAGAAGCAACGTCAGTGGCAATGCAATATAAGATCCTTGGGCAATATCTTGCTCAGGGAGCTTTCTCTGAAAACAGTGGAGATCATGGATTTTTTTTAATTTATTTTTTAAACAGTAAACCGTGACACATTCAGCCCTTCCCATCTGACTTCCTTCCAATCACCCCTTAGATTTACTTTACTTTTAATTTCAAAGCAGATCATTCATCTGTTATCTTGATCAGACCCATTCATCTGCTACCTTCTTGGGGTCTGTTGTTTTTTAAAGCTAATTCACCAACAGTCAGTCTCCACAGTTAACCTGTGGTTCTTTGATTTACCTGTCACATGCCACCCAAATCTCACCAATCTCAATGATAATACTACAGCAGCCACACTAGCACAAAATCTTCCAGGTGCATCTGCATCCTTCATTCGTAACTGCCATTTCATATTCATGCCCCCACATTTCACTGCACATGTAGTGATGTAGAAAAGAAATAGGTAAATATTACCGAATGAATACTTCCCTAAACTGACCACACTGCTCAACTCTGAAATGCACAAAGACATTTCTCTCTCTTACAGGAGATTTCCCCTGACATTAGTTTGAAGACCCCTCTGCTTCACCTGCAAGAACTGAAAACTCTCTTTTGGGCCTGGTGACACTTGTTTCCTTTACAGAGAAGTCTTTCAAGGAATTCCTACAACGATCCTGTCTTTCTCCTTCAGCCCCCAGTTACTACATCCTTTTAGTTACTGTCATGTCTACAACTCCTTTGCGAACTCCCTACGTGCTTCCCACAATACATCATGCTATTACATCACTGCCTGATGCCTTAAATGTGGCCAAAACCAAATTTACTGTCCCTTTAATGCCTCTCATAAACTGTTTATATTTACATTAACAGCAAGTTAAACCAAGACCACAAGATACATGCAAGCTAAACTACCCAGTCAATTGCTCTCAAGGTGAGCACTCAAAATGAATGTTTATCTGTTTTGTACTTACAGTGGGACTAAAGACCAATGTAATGTGCTTATGATATCCAATGGCAGTGAACGAAACTTGAGGCAGGGTGTAGTCATACTGTGATTTAGTTAATGTAGAATCCAGGAGCACCACATAATTCTGTGGGTATAAAATTAATTCAGTCTACAGCACCAGCAGCAGTCTGAGGCACAATTAGATTCAAAGGCAAAACTCAGTGTAATAAGCTTCAAATCTTCTGAGACACTGGTTACTCCAGCATGAATACAGTACTGCAGGCACACCAAAAATAACACTTCAGCATGCTCAAGGAAAAAAAAAATAAATAAAACAAGCTAAGCTAATTGTTCAGCAATACTCTTACCTCTCCATCTCGGAGCAGTGGTGGGAAATGGAAGAAGAGCGATTGGCCTAAGTTGACTGTATGAATTGGGTTGTCGAGGTTTTCACTTTTGTAGAGCTTCACCTGTGAAGGAAAGAAGAAATCACAAAACAGATATTTCTGAGTCTGCACCAGAATAGCTGTTTTAGATAGCCCGTATCTTGCAGCATAAAAGCACTTCAAAATTTATCATGGGTTTTATAAACAGAAAGGTGTCAAGTAAGAACACCTGGATTTGTTCTAACCTATGGTGTGAGAAATAACAGAAACACGCTAAAATAACTGCGGAGACAACTGGTATCTGCTATTTTCACATATCTAGATGTATTAGAAATAGTCCATGCTTTGCATTAAACAGAATTAAGTAATTTTTTTAAATAATCCAAACAGTTTCATAGGAATTTGCAGTTGGGGATTGTTTTTATTACTCTATTAGGCCCATTTTGATTGGTTTCAATTCCCCTGAACTTATTTAACAAACTAGACACCCTCAAGCTACAGAATAGGACTGAAATACTGAGCAAATAGTTTGCTTAGAAATGAGCATAATTAAAAGAGGATTGCATCATACTCAGTAAGGCTGGTGGGGGGCAGTAGTAACTCCTTTTATGAGATTGCATACTGGGTCTGGCTGGGATGGAGTTAATTCTCTTTATAGCAGCTTGTATGGTGCTATGTTTTGGATTTGTGGCCAAGTATTGATAACACAGCCATGTTTTAGCTATAACACGTGTCCTCCAGAGGACACATTAAGCAAACTTTGGGGTTTTGTGGACTACTCTGCAGCAGCCTTTTGGCATCCATACAGATATTTGTAACCCCCTGGATCAGATTTTTGTAAAGACTCAACTTCCCTTGCACACACCCCAACTGAAATTCTCATAAATTCTGCACAGTGCTACCATAGCTGCCATAGCTGTGGCTCCAATCACAGCTCACCAGAACATTTCCAGTTGTTTCATCAAGGTTACACAACCAGAAGGGGCCAGACTGAGGTCACAAAACCTCTTACTTCTGTCTGCATCAAATTTGAGCACATCTTTCAAAGACAAAAATCTCTGCACTGGAAGCAAAAGCTATGATTTACACACTTGCATTACATCCAGTGCAATGCCCAACCTAACATGAAAAAGGTACAGGCTTGAATAACTTCCATATATTTATATCCTGACGTCAATTTCCTATATGCTTAGGCAGAATTGAAAGGGCCTCAATTTCCTGAGAAAGATGGAAAGCACGCTCAGGTGCTTCCCACTTAAGTGAGTTGTTTTCCTTTCACACCTGCTCTGAGTGTTGGATGCTTTGGACAGCTCCCAAAGTAACCAACAGCTTAGCAATGAGATCTTGTCAGGTAAGATGCATAATGGACTAATATAAAAGAAATCCAGGCATTGTGTTTGTATTTGTAGACAACATTTCCAAAGAAAAAGCTTTAAGCTTGAAAAATTGTACAGTAACTCCTATCACACTAAGAACTCTTGCAGATACTTCCAGCAGTTACACCATAAACCAAAGGATCACATGCATGTAGCAATTTTTTTTCAGATTACAGTACAGTTTTTTGAATTTTGAAAATTTCAGCTTTACTATGTTTTGTACTTTCTTCTATAACTGTACTTTTATATTAACGTACCCTATGGTATAGCTGCATTCATATGGCATCTTCTTGCTAGCTGACGTGCATGTCAAAAATTGCAAGTATTTCAGGAATTAATGCAAGTTCTCTGATGCAAAATACTCATTTCACCTCTGGTGTCTTCCTCTCCCTATGGACAGGCCATCTCAAAGCAGGGGAACAGACCAAGAAATGGGCAGGCTAACCTAACAAAATACTTCTTGCACATATTCCAATAAAATATTTGAGACACTAAAACAAAGCAGTGAGGAACACTGGAATCTGATTTCTATATGAAATTCAAATTCATCTTCATTAAACAATTAGTTGTAACTCGAATTAAATGTGTGCTTCTAGCTACTGAATGATTTCCAGTGACCCGACAAAAGAACATTGGGAAACCAAAAGCAAATACACTTGACAAAGATCGAAGGTTTGAACTTACACATAATGTGGACAGATATTCAGAAGATGTAATTACATTTCCACTTAAATCAAATTGATTAATTTGCCGAAATGCTATAATATTAATATCACCAATGTCGCTGTTCCCAACCTGCAACAGACAACAGAGTCATATTTATAGACAGAGAAAGAACAGAACACAAATACAGCTCAATTTAAAAAAAAAATACGGATTTTGTTCTCTAACAGCCACATGGAAACTTAAGGTCTTTCCAATTGCAGTTTTCCTCCAGAGAGTATAGCTCACAATTACAGACTTGTACAGCACAGGGCTAATGGCATTAATTTATTTAAACTAAAAATGGAGGAAGTATCAAAAGCATGCATCAATGTGAAAGGCTGAGTTGCATCCACACAACAGCTTGAAGTCTGAACACTGGTTGCAGTATTTTATTTCTGTGCTGAGATGCATATTACTATGCTAGGATGTGTATGCAGTTGATAAATGATAAAATATATCACAATATAACCTGCTGCAAAAATATGTAACTTCCTTGCCTTCAAAATTGTTTAAAACATGTAACACTTGTGTTTGTAAATCTCAGCTCTGATCAGAGTATGAAAAAACATTTAGTCTAATAATAACTACACTAAGAGGTAGGTTGCAGTCTGGCCAGGTATCATATAAACAGTCTGGCACCATTGGGGCAGTGTATTTTTTCCTGCTGGTGTCTTTCAAATGCTTTTCCAGTCCTGAAGAAAATGGCACCCAGTTAGGATACAATCTGCTGCACACAGCTCTCACTTGCAGTACGTAAGCTTCATATGATTTGCTGGAATTTGGGTTGCCATTCCCTTCCCTTTCCCAAGCAGCAAACACTCTTAGCAAGACGCTAAGGACTTGAAAGAATTCAGCCTGTTTTGCTGCAAAGGAGGGTATCCTGGTCAGGCATGCATCTGAGCTCAAATAATGACTACCTTCCACTGAAAAGTTCTAGACAATAATGAAGGCTAATTAACCTTTGCTGAATGTCAAGAGATAAGTGAGAAGCAGCTAATTTGAATCTGCAAGGATGGAGGAGTATTTAACAAGATTTCATCGGTTTTGAATTTGAAGTTATTATTATATTTTACAAAGATTTACCAGTCTGAATGACAATTTCATCTACATCAAGACTGAAGGATTTGGACCAACTAAAGTACAATAAGGTATATTTATCAATCAATAAAACTGAATATGAGGATAGGATAATATGACAAATTATGACAATCTCAAATCACTAATACTCTGTTCCACATCATAAAGAATGCTGGAAGATAATGCTGCATATTTATTCCCTCATTTCTTGACATATACTTTTTATGACTGTAAAAGAATCCTTTTCACTTGTTTACTGTTTGGGCTTTATTTTATTTCAATTTTAAGCTATGATGCTGACACACAATAGGAGACCTGCATTTATGGAGCTAACTTGCTGAAAGCCACTTGTCGAAACAGAATGCATTCAAATATATTACTGCTGATAGAAGAGATGTAATGCCTAGACAGATGCATTTCATATTTAAGTGATACCACACAAAAAAAAGAAAAAAAAAGTAATTACCTCAATTGCCCGGTGCTGTGGTAAAGCTCTTTCAATATGATCATTGCCTTCAGCTTTGAGTTGGACATGATACACACAACCAGGCTAAAAGCAACATTCAGACAATAAGTCTCAATGCTGAATAACATGCACTTTAATTTTAGAAGATATTAATTGAATTTTCTAACATTCCATTAGTTTTCCTTATCCTAAATAGATAATTTAGCCCACTAAAACCATTAAGGATGTTTACTTCCAGTAAATACAACAGGACTATCAGAGCTTTCTCTAGTTTATTACATTATTAAAAGAAGTCACCTGCTGTGAAGAGTTTTAGCTAGAAAGAAAACACATTAATCAGGATTAAAACCAGAGGAAACACTCCTTTCTACCTCAGCATAATTGCTTACTCCACACAGCAGTCCCAGAAATACAGGCTTTCCTGCAGAACAGCCTACTTCACATCCATGCTGCAAAACCCAACAGACCACTAGAATACACTGTCACAGTACTTCCACTAGAAAAACTTGAGAACAAAAGAGAATTCCCTGTTATACCACCTATATTTTTATTTGAACACCTGTAAGACACATTCTTGTGGGAACTGTTCCGTGTTTGTGTGAAGGCTGTCAGCATATGCTGGCAGAAAGATGGACAGACACTACAGGAAAAACTTCCTGTTTTACTAGAATGAACGATCACTACATGACAGTGCCTCCTAACAAAGACAGACTCAAGGGAATTTGATCTAGCAAGTGTGATGGGAAAACAGAAATCTGTAGCTAATTCATAAAACAGATTATATTGTTCCATTATCACACTAACATAAAAGTAAATGTTTGAGAAGCATTCTAATCCTTACCAGAAGGCCACGTAGCCTGAATTTGCCTTCTTCATCAGTTATTGTGTCTTCTCCATAGATGCTACACTTTTCCTGCCCCACAGCTTCTACTGAAACTCCCTGCTCAGGCTCTCCATTTAATGAAGAAACTGTGCCATAACAGCTAGAGGGAGAAAGAGAAACAATTGCTACAGATGTGCAAATGCTGGTTTACTGCTTGTTTTTAAGACATGCTATTGTTATAACTCATGGGAAAAGTACTTGATATAATTAGCATAGCACGCAGAAGGGGAATTTGTAATGTATATATAAAAAACTGCTTTAAAACATTTAAATCAGCTGCAATTCAGAGTACAGCTTTAGGGATCCAAGTTCCCTACCCTCCAAGAACAGCATCACTTACCCCTGAGGGCAGGGAAAAGGAGGAAGTCAGGTGCTTGAACTAGCATACAGTCCCTAAAATACACCTCATCCTCTCCCACTGGGCAAAGCACAAGACATTTCCAGTGCCACTGACACAGTACTTTCATAGCAGTGTTTTTGTTTACAACCACATCATCTGGGCCTAGCTATATATTCAAATGCATGAGAAGATGTTTAAAAAAAAAAAAAAAAAGTACTTATAAACAACATATAAACAACATAATGAATTTATATTGTGCCTTCAAAAGTACCCTCCAAACCTTCAAAACAGTGTTTTTTCAGGAGAAAAAATATTTTCCGTAATGCATCCTTACACAACATGCAGCATTTTGCACAGATTTTCAGCTCTACTGACCTGTACGCTGTTCTGTAACCAGTTATCTGAATTTTAAGATTCTGTCCTTCTTGCACTTCAATCATTTGTGATGATGGTTCAAAGCGAAACTCTTTCATCATGGGTTTAAAATAATACTGCCCTGGGCTCTGCAAAGATAAATAAAGCAAATTTACTGATACTGACACAAAAATTCACCAGCTCCAAACAATTGCTTCTGCAAGAGCTCCCTAAAGTTCTCTGTCCCAGCCATCAGCTAAACTGGTTGGAATATATGAGCACTGCAAAACAGGGAACACGTTGGCAAATGAACCAATGGAGCTCTACGAGAAAAAGCCTGAAAAAGGAAAAGAAACCATGATGCTAATACTTCATCACAAGACCGCAAGGACAGGAAAGTGACCAGGAGAGAAGGATGTTTGCAAGGAAACTATTCATGCATGTCTACACAGATGTACAGATCAATAATCTAATTACATTTCTTTCCTCTAAAGACTAAAATGATCACCAACCAACTGGCTTGTTTCATGTTTATAGACTGCAAGTTTGTAACTGAGCTCAATCAACATTATCTGTTGCCCATGGGGGAGATTTTCCAGGTTAGATTTCACATCTTCCACTCTAAGATTTTAAGTGCTGTCCACTCTGAGGGACCTACACCTCTCACTGTGAGTTATGATTTCATTGGAGACCATACATCCCCCGCCACTGAAAAGCACTGCTAACATCCCTATTTTAGAGGGTAAAGTTACACAGCATCACATATACAACCACTGTGAGATGAACCAATTTCAACTTACCAGATTGGAGAAAGTCAACATGCCATTATCCTGTGTAAGGAGGTTGGACCGGAACATCCCTCCACTAAGAGACAAGAGAACTCCAGCAAGAGCCTGATCATCCTCAGATTTGATCTGTTTTTGAAAATGCAGCAGTTATAAGGAAAGATGGGATTGCCTCATGAAGAGGGGTTCAATTTGAAAGCCCCATGGAAAATGCCTAGTCATGCTGGTTCTGAGCACTCAGTTTTGAGCAGAAGAGAACTATCAGCATCTGCAGCATGACACTGCAGGGCTAGTCTTGTGCTCTCAATATCTGGGCAGTCAGAGACACACACATTATGTGCCACCAGAAAAGTCATTCTCCGTCACCTCACAGGACATGGTGGGGGCCAGAACAAAGTATTCATGAAACTAAAGCCAGGCACTAGTTTCACCAGACTGTCTATACCTGAGAAACAGAAGTAATTAAGAGAAGGTGGTCAAACTCTGCCAAAGCAAGTAAATCCAGTCTTTTGAATTGCAGACCCTTATTTTCACTCTATAAACCATGCAAAATATCATCTGTATGGCAAGTCACAATTATATCATTTTGCTGAGGTTTGTTTCCACTATGATGAAATTACCTGATCCCTACATCCCACACCCATTTGCATTTGCCTGGGACACACAGTTTAATTTTTTTTGCCTGTCTACCTCTAACTGCACACACTATTCATTCAGAACCCAAAGCGTTTAGAGCATTACCTCAAATGTCACCCCAGCAAGGGCAAAAGCTTTGAAGTCTCCAACTGTTCCTTCTACTGCAGTCAAAACAAAGCCTTCTTTCTGAGCAGTAACTGTATACTCCAAGTCACTGTGGAGTGGCCCAACACTTCAAATATAAGGAAATCAGAGCTCATTTTAAAAGAAGCATTTGGATATTACATGTGTTGTCAAGTCACCATGGCACTTAAGCCAAGAATCCAAAAGATCAAAACAAATCTGCTCATTACCTGTAAGCACCTTTGTCGTCTGTGAAAACTGTGATGAGAGGGGACGTTGCTCCCTTTTCACCAATGACAATCTCAACGCCTTCCAACTCAGGATGAATCCGCCCTTCCATAAATAAGCCTGCTTTTCCATGAATCTCTATCAGCTTTCCAGGACAACTCTCTTGGTCATTGCAATGGGGATTTAAAACAAACAAGAAAGTCAGAAATACACTCATCATTGCATCTTACAGCAAGACTTTAACTACTTCCAAAGAGATGAGTTCTTTTGCCTTGGACTACAAGATCAATCCACATAATTGTATGGGCTCTTAACATATGTTAAAAAGTCTGAACACTCAGTAATTTCAGTAACTGAGTACCAAAGCTATAAGCATGTGGCCAGCACAACCATTTTGGATTTGCTAAGTACTTCACAGATTCATAAAGTTCCATATACTGCAGCCACATGGAAAGTATTCTAACAGTAACAAAATTTTGTGAGATCAAGTTGAGGTCAGTGTATGCTATGTTTAATGACATACGTTGATTTAGTTTTGTTTACTTGATGTATTTAGAATGTGCACAACAGAAAGGCACATAAAGAAAGGTACCTAATTTTCTAGCCATTTCAAACCAAGCACGTTCATTTAGAAACCTTAGAGCAAGATGGACACTGACTCAACAGGTAGCATAGGTGACTGCTGATAGTTTTCACATTTTTTTTGTGATTGTTTATATTATTGTAACTTAATACAGAAGAAAACTTGACAGAAACTTCAACTGGCTATCATATTTTAAATATAAACACTGCTTTTGCACAACCATTTTTCTAGATCAGTGTAATATGAGTAGTTCTGAGAATCTGCTGTTATATACAGAAATCTAGTCCTTCCTCCTGTGCCAGGTGGTCTGTCAGCACTTGAAAGCATATTTTACTGATGAAAACTGTATTTGCACCCTCTGCCAAAACCCCATGATTCCCAATACCATAGAGTGAAACTGTCTCACAAAGTAACTGGCGCAATTGAAACTGCTTTCCTAGTATTTCCTTTGAAGAGCTATTCATATGTTGATCTGTAGGGATGCATTTCTGTCTTAAAAATCTATTTCTTTCAAACTAGAATTAGATTTACCTCCACTAACAACTGTTTCCACATAAGGTGGGTAGAAAAGCAGCTCTTTTGAAGACGGGGTCACAGTAATTTTCTCTCCAGACCTACAGAGCACACATAAGACAGTATTAGGAGAAAATGGAATCAGCATCTCTCATGTAGTACTGCGTATTGACCTCAGAACCCATCTGAATACCCCCAAGGGAAAAATATCAACAATAACCTATGCAATATTCATATTATGTGGTATTAGCTTCTATTTAGCTAGCAGTCAACCAGAACAGACACGAGCATCCACAGAGCAGCTCTTTCCTATGTGGAATATATCAGTATTCTTTTTTGTGGAAAGGCCAGGCAACAGAGCAAAGAAAATACCCTGTCCATTGGAGCTTGGTAGTACCTTGCCCAGTAAGAAAATTCATATAAGAATGGTCCTTGAAGTTCCTCCACCATTTCTTGCACTGGTGGCTTTGTTCCTTCCTCTTCTTGACCCTTCTTTTCTCTCTCTTGTCGGCGGGCCTCAATTTCTGCCAGCTGCTGCTCCCTGCGTAACTCCTGTACAGATTTCAAGGGCCCTAAAACTAAGTCAGGTTCACTGTCAATAGAAGATCTGAAAACAAGGAAGAGAAAACAAAATAAGCTCCTTTCATACAAAGGGAAGAGAGCTTGTTGTATCTATCAATTACAACCTTTATACCACAGCAAATCCCAGAATTTTTCTTTTAAAGCTATTCCTTTTTAATTCCTCTGTTTATTCCAAGCATAGGTAAAACTTTTATGCCCATAACACCATCAGTTACTACTAGAAAGGCTTGTTCACAGGGACCACTGGTAACCCACTAGGTCTTGCAGGAAAGGACCTATTCACAACACTCACAAATTCTGCCTCAGCATGCTATAACCATTCAAGAAGTTAGGGTCCTACTGTCTTCAAACATCCAAATACAGAGCAGACATTTCAAAAAAAAGAGCCACAATTGTCTCAACCACTTTGCATCTTAGCTGAGGGTTCCTTTTTGATTGGTTGGTTTTATTTTTTTTTACGTACAGTCTTGATTTTGCACCAACTAGCACATGGCAGCTCTGTTGCAGGGGCAATAACCTCCCCCGGAAGCAGTGATAAGCCCACATGGGTGGTAAATTCTTAAGCCAAAGCAACAGTTTGCAAGAGTACCTTTAACAAAGCCATAATCTAAAAGAGAAAGGCCTAAATTTCAAAACAGCGAACACTGCTTGATACAGAAAGAACGTTATACAAAATAAACAAGAAGACTTGTATCTCCTTTTTTTTTCAGTACTATAAACTTTCCCTCAGAACCCACCTCTCAGGTTTAGAGTATACAAGAAGAAAATAATCTGTCACAAACAGATGCTTCCAATAGCTGGCAATTCCCAGGAAAAGTGCCAAGTTGTGACCTATTGACCCTACACCTTTGAACCATCCAGCTGTCCTGCCACCATCTACTGAACAGATTACTAGGTAAGTTTAGCTACCTTCCCTAAATCAGCTCAGAACAATAGATCTTGTTTCACCTTCCCTGATCTTACATCCTCTCTTTCCTACCAATTTCTTCTAGTCTCCAACCATCCTTTGTATCTTATCTCCTGTCCTGTCTACAACAGACTGAAAAAATGACGCAGAACACTGCAAAATCCTCTAAAAAGGAATGAACTGAAACGATCACCATTATTTTTCCTACAACCACTTTAGATTATCAGGATAGTTCTGTCTCCTGCTTCAGTCCTCATCCATCTCTATATAGACAGAGTTGTTTTTTTTGTGTGTTTTTTTTTTTTTAAAGATAAACATACTATTGCTCTTCCATACTATGTTTCATCAAGCCTTTAAACTTTCTCTGCAGTCCAGAGACAATCCAGAAACTTACTAAAAAATTTTTGCCTTAAAACCTATTAAAAATCTGTACAGACACAGTCTCATGATATTGCTTATACACTACTCCAGTCTCATTTTTCAAACGTAACAATTCATGTTCAAAAACTGCTAAGAATTAGCTTTGATTTTTGGATAACTGAAAGTTAACATGTCTCTGTTCTGAATCTTGTACACAAGCACAGACTTTAAAAAACAAGCATTTTGCTTTTAAATCCAGAGCTGTCTCCTTTATGTTGACAGTCAACAAATTGGATTTTGGCTGAAAAGCTTCACGCAGGCTTGAACAGAGACAGTCTGTGGCAACTGAGCTGCCTCCAGAACACTTGCCAATAGTCTCAAAAAAACAACAACAACAAAAAATTCAGCCTGGAATGCTGGTACAGTATTTGCTTCTATGCTAAATTGGTTTGAAAATCCTAATGTCTCTCTACTGTCTCGCTGTTTCTTTTCTGGCTGCTGTTGTTGCCCAGTAGTTGCAGTTGTAGATTCATTAAACTCAGGGACTCAAGGAAGAGCTCTGCAGGAAATTTGTTTCTCCACAAAGATGCTTCATACACTCAAAGTCTGAGAGCCCCTAGTCTAGAACAAGTGGACATCAGGAAAGCATTAAAGCACTCATTATTATCAGCCACTTTCAGGCAGAGCTGGCACCTCATACTATTAAAGCTGTTCACAAATCAGCGCTCCCCAGTGAGCTGTCTGTTCAGCTAAACATAAACTGGCACATTAGTGTGTAATCACTCTGCACTGTTTTCCTCTTATAGCCCTCTTCACACCAGTAACAATGCTCAAAAGCAGCAGATTCTCCTTCTGAGGTAACAAAAAAAACAATCCCAGTGCTAAAGAGCTCAGAGCAAGCTACAACAGTATTCTCTGAATTCTGAAATTTCAGATCATTAAAATACATAATCACTCAGAAAATCATTCCTTTTTATCATGACACAAGTAGAAAAGAGTTATATTGAAATCAAGTAACAGCATTCAAAATGAGGGCTCAGAATTATTTATCCATCTACAAAGAAGTCAAAGCACAGCTTAGCATAAAAACCTCCTGCAGTCTAGAGTAGGATGCCATTCCCTTAGAAAGCAGCCACTGTGGTATTAAAATCAGAATAAAACTTCATGAGAGAAACGTCTTTCTTCCCTTTTTTACAGCCCCAAGATTTCTTTGTTCTTACTTAATGGTAATAGTCACATCCATCAGTTTATCTGTTACAATCGAGCCAAGGACATGGTGTCGAACAGCAGTGAGCGTCAGTATACTAGGAGAGGACCTGTAAATCAAATTAACAAAGAGATGAACTCAAGGTCTCCCTCCTAAAGAAAATAACCAAATCTTATTTAGCTGAGTTCGTGTTCCCATTCCCAAGTTTAGAGTGCTTTATAAACCATGACATACAAATTAGATAGCAAAGTTGTAGTGCTACCATGATAGCATATTGAAAAGGGCACATTTTCCAGCTGCAAAACCCAAACTTCTACATGACATTGGCCAAATAACTCCCTTGCTTTGTGCCTCGCACTTCCTCTCAAGCTGATGTTGATTTGATTGATTTCATATGTACGATCTCTTTACACACAGCAGAGGGACACTCACGAGTTAGCAATATTGGACATGGCTCACCATGATACCCAAGTCTAATGGTACTTTGCTGCCAAAAGGGGTTCCTGTTCCAATTCATCTACTCAGTTTCTCCTGTCTCTGATGTTTAGTACGTCTCTTTTTGAAGTATTTTTAATTCACCAAGCAGAAAAGAATCAGATTTTAATGCTGAATTTGTTTTCTGCCATGTTAATGAATAAGTAATAGTCAGGTAGCAGAAACCCTCTTTTTGGAAGCAAACAGCTGTCAAGCACTTTGCCAAACCTTAACCAGAAAAAAACTAATAAAACATAGCTGACTTTGAAAGTTCAGCACTGCCCACTCGTGATTAGAATGAATATTTACTCAGCCTGCAAAACTGGGGTGAGCAGAATCAAATCACCACAGGCAGTTATGGCAGGGACATACAAGTAGTATGCGCCTCCTAGTAAACTTAATACCCTATCATTTCAACCCTCACAAATCATCAACAGTTTCCACTGAAATTTCTCTGCTTTGTTACAAAGCAAAAAAGCATTAAACACAGACACACAGCAAACAGAAACATCAATTTGAAGTAGCAAAAGCATCTTTAAAGCCTATCCTTAGTCACATTTTTATTTTTTAAAGGGCAAGAGGACACATCTCATACACTTTGCTAAAGCTTCCCTCTATTGGTTAGAACCAGCTATAGCAACAGATCCTGAATTAATCAAAGAAAGCAGCTGCAGCAGAAGAAAGCTTTGTGAAAGGATACTGATAGGCATAAGTTTAAGAACAGATTTTGCTCTTACGTGTCGTAAGTGTAATACTCATGTTCAAACTGGTGGCAGGAACGCGGGGTTACTTCATAGACACCTGTAAACATTAAGTAAAGGAATAATCCACTGGCAAAAAAAAAAAAAAAAATCAAGCTTGCTGTGTTGGCTGAATTCTCAAGAGCACATGAGACCTGAGGTACAGAAACAATTACTAAATTTGATTGTAAATTAATTCACCTCACTTCAGTCACAGATCACTACTGGAAGCTGCGCAGAGTTTCTCATATACACTGATACAAAACACAATTAGTATCACAGCAGAGTGGCATATAAAAACATAATTACAAGTAGAACACACTAAACAAGGTCAGAAGTAATCTATTATAGCTGGTCTCAAAGCTGATTTCCTTTGATTACAGAACCTACAGTTGAAACTGTGTTACTGTATTGTGAATGAGGCCACTGACTCTAAGGATGAACTGTGCAAAGATGAAAACTGAATCAAAACCAAATTAATTTCTTAACTGTTTAGTTAATGGGCATTAACAAGGAATTAGCTCTGAGACATTAAAAGTGAAAAAAAAAACTAATTTTAAAACATTCTTTTTTTATTATTATTATTTTTATAGATAAACTTGTGGTACCTTTAACAGCTAACCTTCAAGAATCCTGTATTGAAATGAACCATCTATTTATCAGTCACATTCCAGTCACAGAATCCATATGAACAAGATTATTTTAACATGCTCTTGATTAGTCCAAGGTTAACACCCTTCACCTAGTCAAAAAAATATTTTGCTCCTGAAACTGAACTTAGGTAAGTGACTAAACACTAAGAAAATATTAAAATATTAGAACAGAGAATTTATATTCAGATGTAAATTAAATAATGCCTCTCAGAAACCTCAGAATCCACAACAGATTATTTTTAATTCCCAGTAGTATTAGTTGACTGGTTCTTTTTTCAACTAACATTTTAGAGCTGTTACCTGGCTTTGAAAGACAGAATCTATTAACTCCTTTAGACAGGTTATAAACACCAACATTCTCCGGTCCATTTCCATCCTGGTAAAATTCCTGTGAAGCCGCAACACAACTCACTATTAGTAACTACCAAGCATCAAAATGTGAATACTATTTGCCTAAACGTACATTAATTCTTCTCTTTTATAGCAATTAACAACAACAGAAAACCATTTTACTAAATCTAAGGGACAAACCTAAAAGTGTTTTAAGCGTCAGTGTTCCTGTGCTGCAAGACAACCTAAAGAGAGAGCCTCGATTCCAAGAATAACACAAGCTACCTACACAAGTTCATTAAAAAGAGAAGTGAGGCTGTTTGTTACCTACGTACCAGTGTAATCGCATGAGAAAGGGAACATCTCAGCATATATCCAGTCTGTCTGAATTCTACACCTGAAACATCCTCCTCCATAACTTCCAGCTCCAAAGATTTATTCTTCCAGCACCAGTCTTCATGTACAATGCTTACTAGAATACACATCACAAAAAGGTTTTAGTAATGTAAAACTGTGTGAATAAAGACAGCTTTTGTGGTGTTAAAAGCCTGTACCACACTAACTTCCCCTGACAATAATCTTCAAAGCCAGGTATACATGTACAGTAAATGTAAGCACAGAAAAGAACTGTAGCAACAGACCTGGCTCACAGCACTGCTGCATCACCAGGAATCCAGCATATCTCTTTAATGTAAAAGCTATTCTAATAAGGAATAATGAAGTCTGGTAACCCTACAAAATTCTGCATTCGGCACTACCACTGTGGTAGTCAAAGATATCTAGAGGACAGCAGAACCTAACTCCAATTTCACATGGTGAAATGATGTTCTGACTCATACAAAAAGAGCAATATATATGTAGCCCTTCTACACCTTTCCCAGGAAAATAATTTCTTTTCATAGTAGGCCAAGGCAGGCTGGCAAAAACACTTTTTACTCTTTGGAGAGGCTAGTTACTGTGGAAACAGAAGACCTGTGATGTTCTTCTACTCTCAGGTTTGGGACAAATCAGTTCACGACAAAGGCCTTTAACTTGACAACATGCATGTGTATCCTAAAACATATGGAATCAGTTACCTGGACACTGAAAAAGTGGTTAAGCAGACAAGATGAAGAAAGCCTGATACACTGGTGTATAGCATTTTCCCATATCTTAAGTTTGAGAACTAGTTCCACATTGGGCATGTCACATAGAACGTGAACAGTATCCATGATAAAAGAATTAATACAGACTAAGTCACTAATTTAGCTAATAAGTTAACACTTCCAGCAAATCCCCATATTCCTACTTTTGTATTTGCCAGGTGGCACGTTTTCAAATGTGAAGGCCACTGAGTCCGTATTTCCAGAGAGCTGAAGGTTACGTTTTTCACCCTGGCGGCTCACAGACTGTAACGTCACCATCAAATCACCGCAAGCATCTGTGCAGAAAAGAAAGAAGAAAATGCATACTGTCTTGTCAGCTTTCTCCCAAAACCCTAAATCCAAGGAAGCTTCTCGTGTACTAATATTAAACCAACTGCTCTTTTCCAGTAGAGAATATTTCCAATTAAAAAAATTAACCTGATTTCCTAAGCATCTGTTTACTATCTGTTTTGTTGCACTTGTAAGTTTAAGCTTAATCATATTCTTGTATCTAAGGACAAGAAACTTCCAGAGGCCAACACTGAATTCCTGGGGTCCACCTTATACTGCAGAGACTACAGGGGTCCAGAAAACACATGAGATGAATCAGAGAGAAAATGTAAGGAGCAAAAATGACAAAACTCAAACTCTAATAATCACCTGCTAAAATTAGTGGGTACTCAAGAACAGCAGAAGATAGAAACCTTTGACTAAAATTAAGTGAAAACACTGAGAAAGAGAACAGACTGCACGCTTCTGGCAACAGCCTGAGCTTCTATCCTACAGGTTTATACATGCACTGTATTTTATTTTTTTTAATGTTTTTTTCAGTATTTCTGACATTGTTGTAAAATGTCCCAACCATCAGCCAGGATCGTTTGCTCCCACAACTTAAGTGTCTTTGAAAATAAACAGGTCAGAATTTATTCCTAGCAAGTATTAAAAATAGGTAGGTAACTTCACTCCAAACTTCATTAAGGTGCTAACTAGGCTGTACGGTCTCTTGAAAAAAATAACCATTTCATTTATGTGCTGGAAATTAATTTACTTAACTGTTGATGGGGCTGACCACAGCAAGTGGCTTGATCAAAACTGTGTTCATTCATACACACAGTGCTGAAGTTCTCCATTCTCTTTTCCACTTGACTTTCCAAACTGGCTTACCTAAACAAGAGATCTTCCCAGAGACTGATGCCAAAAACTGAGAGAAGGTCACATCCATGACTGGTCTGTCTGTAACAGTAACAGGGAACACTTTGGGTTTCAAAGCCAATCCTGCTCTGGTCTCAGCTTCTGGAATAATTACCTGTGGAGTACAGGACATCAACACATCTCCAGCTTTTAAATACCAGTCCAAATTCACCCACTCTCCTGACTTTAACTCACCAGAAATTAGAAAATGGATATTTACTCTAAGTCTCAGGCAAAGCAAAACCAGCCTCTCAAATATAATGTTCAAAATTCTTCACTAAAAATCCTCCAAACAACTGCAAAAGGCCTGAGCTAAAAATTCTCCAAATATCATGGTTTCAAAAGTCTGAGCGAGTTTCCACTTTGAGATCTATCTACTCCTGCTTCCACATTGGGCTGTTTCATTATCTGTAAGGACAGCCAGAGGCCTTATAACCCTGCACTTCCTTATCTCCCAGCCTGCAATTTTCCCCCACAAGGGGGGGGATTCAACACAATTTTTAGTGTTTGTGCTACAGGTTCTGCTATGACCTTGTAGCTCCAGAACCACTGAGACACCTGAAAAGCTACACATTACATGTGTCATTCACAGGAAAATATATGAACATAGTAAGTGAACTAAGGGACATTACAAATAGAGGAGAGAGAGATAAAACCCTTTAATCTCAATGGCCTGAACACCTTTTAACAAGTGTGAAGGAGCATGAGAATTTCAGCTTATAAAGAAAAAAAAGTAACGATCATTGTTTATATAGTACAAACAGGAGAAGAGTGTCATGAAAATCTACATTCAACTTCTCAATTTTTAAAAATCAAATGTTTTAAATTTTTTAAAATCTCTCGGTAGTCCTACAAGGAAGAAATGGAAGCTAACTCTTACCTGAATATTGTATATACCCGATTTTGCCTTAAAACAAAATGCTCCATGAGGGTCTGTTTCTGTTGTAACCAATGATCCTTTGTCCTTGTCTAGAGGCATCATGGTTACCTTATATTTATTCATCTGTTTGACTGTGTCAGGTAAACGAGTTACCGAGATCCGGCCACACACACTGAATCTGTAAAATAAATGCCAGTCAGAGTAGATATACTGGTTTGACAAAACTCAGAAAATAATTGTTTTAAAGTTTCCTCAAGATTTTAACTGGTTTGATATGTTTTGTGTCAAATATCGCAAATCTGATATATAATGCACTGGAACAAAACCCTACCACAACCCTACCTGTGAAAATATAAGAAAAGATGACAGATTACAAGCTGTTAAGTTTCACTTCTCACCTTAAATAATGCACTATATTTAGTCACTGATAAAAACTGTAATTAATCATTTAAAACATTTTTTTTTAATTGGCTAACAGATTCTGCACAAGCTAGTTGTGATTTGTCTCAGGAAATTCCTAGTTATCACTTCTCTTGAAGGTTGCCATTACTTCCTCCTTAAGAGAAGCTCTTGGGCACAGAAACTATGCCCTTTTTGCCTTTCTCAGCTCACAAAGTATCTCCCAACACTGCACGGCCTTACAGCGCACTATATTTAGTCACTGATAAAAACTAAGTGATCATTTAACACATTTTTTTTTCTAATTGGCTAACAACACTGGTACTTACCCTGTTGCAATGATGTTTGCCAGCTGAGGGGTATTTGGTGCGATCTTCACTGTAATAGTATCAAAGAAGAGATGCTCTTTCCTGGCATGAATTGTGTATGTACCTGTTGTTATGTTCTCAAGGCGGAAAGATCCATCGGCTTTTGTTTTTACTGGAATAAATAAAGTGAAGAGTTAAAAAGCAGAACATTTTTTCCAGTGTCTATCTTCATGTATCTAAAGAGCCAGACGGTATGTACTGCTTTAGGCTATTTTAATTTACATTGCACAACAAAGCAACAGTATTATGTTCCTTATTAGATCAACCTTCAATTCTGTATTATAAAGCAGTATTTCTAGTTTGGCATATGTTTGAAGGGAATTATAATAAATTTTCTACTGCAAAACAAATGAGCAGCTAATACTCTCATCTAAGCCAGAAAATGAAGAATTACTCAACTGTATGCAAATCAGTGTAATATTGCAAATAAATTACAAAAAAATAGTAGTGTATTATCCTGAAGGTCCAATTCCATCGCATACCCTGCTCCTGTACTTGAGATTATCAAAGATTTACCTGTAGCAACACAGACCAATACCATTGCATACCTTTAATCTGATTGTTTAGGGTCACAGTGGCATCAGCAACTCCTTCCCCTTCGGGACCATTCAATACCCTGCCTGTGACAGAGAAACCCATCACATGGAAAATAGGCTGAAATGGAAAAATAAAGTTATCATTAATCTTCTCCCAGTAAAAGCATTCACACATCTACAGCAATCAATACGTATTGGTTTTTGTCCCATACACATGCAGTAAATTTACTTCCAGATTTAGGAAGAAAATTCAACAGGATAATCACAATAAAGTATGCATCAAGCTCAAGGCATATTGTCCTGCTAAGAAGTACAGGAACCAATTCTTAAGTTACCTGCATTAGCACACTTGAGAAGACTCTCACCGTACATCATAAGACCATTACTCGAGAAACTCTGCAGATCAGAGTTTTATTTACAGGCCCTTCTCAACAGATTTGACACTGCGAATGAGTAAACTTAATCAACCGAAAGGATTACTGCCTGTTTGCCACACAGACATGAAAGTGAAAGGGACAGCTTCTCCTTATTTTGTTTCTTCCTAGGAAAACAGACTGAAGTATAGAAATACAGAATAGATATTGTCATCTACCTGCTAGGCAAGAAGGTACATGTAACAAATCTCTTTAAGCTTCTTACAAAGACAATTTTCCACAGCACAACTGCCTTCTGCAAGATCAGTTATACTTCCACAGGAATTGGTACAAACAAGATGATTTCTCTAAATGCCTTACCTCAATTTGTAAACTGTCATGTTCTACAAAGAAGTCCAACCTTGATGGTGCAACATCAAAGGTAATTCTCTCTCCCCTGTAGAATGGTATCTGAAAGGAGAACACATCACTTTGATTCCTAAGAAGCTGTGACATCAGAAGCATTTTCCTTTACCATTTTCCAGGTCTTTTTCACTAACAGACACCTCCACAAATGGCCAAATGGGCTGCAAACTTGCTGGAAAAATAACTCAGATTGATGGCGACACAAATAAAAGCAGGATTTTCAAGAATGTTTGATAGAAACCATATGAGATCATATGAAGAAACAGAAAAGTAACCTTCTAATGAGAATACAGCAAAGGTATTCAATACAGAGAGTTTACATAAGAGAATATATGATCACTAAAGGATTAAGGGAATAAGAGAAGTTTGGATCCCACTTCTAGATCATGCAGTCTGAGACTGCAAGACCATCATTCTAGGCAGTGCAAAGACATCCACGCTCCAACACTACCTGGGCATAACAAAGAGAATGGTATAAAAAGAAAAAATGTTATAAAGAGAACTTCAGTGGTTTGAGGTGGCTGTAGCCCATTGAAACTTTCAGCTTCCCATCAGCCTATAGAAGTGGTTCTGTGACTGGCCAATGTATTCAGGAGATCTGTAAATAAATACTTCCTCAGAAATCACACCAGAGTCCTACTACAGCAACTCACTTCACTGTCAAATGCTTTATGTTAGAGTCTCCTCCATTTTTTTCACCCATCTCAAAATATTTCAACTGGCTTTGTCTTTAACAGCTGCAAAATTATGCACAACCTTGCTTAGAGAGCAAAAGTTAGTATCTCAATGGATAAACAAGAAACAAACTTGCTAGCTACTTACCACAGTGTATTTCCCACTTGGTAGGGAAAGAAAGCTGAAAGATCCATCTTCTTTTGATACAACATTGCACAAATAGGTTAGAGACTCATCTCTTGACTGGAATCCATCCACAGGAGAAATATTGCAGCCCACAACATCCTGTGTCAATAAATGCATTAATTATTTTTTTTCTCATGGGTGAACATGGAAAACAATTTGGGGGGATGCTGGATGATTCAAAATACTATACCATGATGGATGAGAAGTACAAAAAACAATTTAGATGCAAAGTTTGATAGCATGATTTACAATTCTTATACAGGTAAAAAAAAAAATAACCAATAACAGACTTTATGGTAACAAGGACAGAAAACTGAAAAATTAAACATCCTTTAGATGACAGACAGAACTGCATTGCATATCTTAACATAAACTGTCTTTAGCTCTGAGGATGAAGTTAACATTACAGAACAGAGCTCTACTCTACATACCAAATCACAGTACACAAATGGAAGTTCCATGCTCGTTTTATAAATAACACATTTTTAAGGTGGCAACAGAAGCTGATGAACTTTGATTTCACATTAAAAGTGCACAAAGCAATTAAGGCTTTATGTTAAAGACAAATTACAGCTACTATCTAATGAAACTTAGGGTTTGTCTGGCACTACCTTGAGATTTTTTTGCACTATTTTTACAGAAGCTGATCTTACACAATGGAGGACTGTCATACTTACAAGGGAACATTGTTACTAACCAACATTTAACATGCAAAAAGGTGTAAATTGAAAAATATTGTCTTAAAACTGTAATCCTTAAACCTGCTGACCCACAAGGAATGTAAAGAGCAAAAACTTGCAGTGAACCATTTTACATTTTGCAGTTGTTGCCTGCTTCAGCTCAAGTTTTAGTTTTCTATGCCCCTGAACAACCTGAGTGTTGGGACACCATTACCTCTTTGGTGACTGAAGAAGAGAATAGAAGAAACATGACTCCTTTCATTGGTTCTCCATCACTCCTTACTGACCCAGAAACATTGTAGCCAGCAACAATCAGAGGGCTAGCAGCATAAGCATTAGAACTCGTTACCCGTACCACCGTGTTTGCCTGAACACAGAAACACATACATTTGCATCAGAAGTAGACATTAAATCTCATTTACAGCACTAAATTACAATCTGAGGCTGAATAATCAACATCAGAAACAGAAGCCAGAGCAGCAGTTCTCAAAGAGAGCCCAAATACTCTTCAGAACAGAAAGATGCTAAAGCAAAGATACTACTGTAAAACAGCGCTTTTACTGTTTCACTGGTTTAGGAATTGGTCAGGATTTCAAAGCTCGTTATAAAGTAAGCAGTCTGAGAAGAAAGGTTTAAAGCATCTGCTATGTTCTCCAAGTTCCTGGAAAATGTATAGCATTAGAAGTCCTAAAGCAAGAGCTCATTTGACAGTCTTTCCCCAGCTGGCTCCATTATCTCCAAACTAGGCCTGCACAAGGCAGTTTCTTGCCTGCCTCATTAAACTTAGGGAAAACCGCATTAACCTCATCCACTCACACAAACCCTTGTTCATGCTAGCTGATCAAGGTAAGGACTAGCCAATGCACACTCCCTAAGCATGCAGAACAGAACTTTTGTAGGCTCTAACCTCTTTCAACATCCAGGTGGGATGAGATGCAAAGATTTCATATTCACCAGGAAGCACTTTAAAGAAAGCAAACCTGTAAAGCAAGAAAAGGATTGCTTAATGACTATTGCTTAAGAAACAATCGTTAACATTTGCTTACAAAAAGCAATTCACAGTCCCCACGCATTACAAAATGTATTTCAGAACTTCTATAATCCCAACCAATATGGCAGAATTGAAAGAATCTCATGTAAATGAACACATGAGGTATGCCCATGCCTATTCCCACACTCACTTTCCTCCAGGCTGGGTAACAGTTGCTTGTATGTTTACATCACTGCCAGCATTTCTCAGTACAACCTGGACTCCAGCAGGACCTAAAGCCTGACCTTTGCTGAGGACCTGTCAAAATGAAGAGAAACCAGTGTACAAGTGGATAAAAGTAACATGCAGAGGTGAAGTAGGACATTTTAATGAAGGTACAATTAACATGGGATGGAATAAATAAATATAAAAAAGTCTAACCTTTCCATTCACAGAAAATCCCGTAAATACAAAGTTAATATCGCCTCCCTTTGTGCAAATGTCATTAATGCCATCTACGTGGATATCTACACTGGTTGGTTCTAGAAGGGAAGAACAAGAGAACGTGGTAGTTAGTGACAGAGGAATAACAGCACAACTCTACTTTAGCTTTACAAAACTCTCACAGAAATGCACTAGCTCAAGTGAACTAGTTATGCCCTAGAAGCCTTGTCTTATCCAAGTTAACCACCCACAAATCCTAATGTTGAAAATCCTTCCCCCTCCTATTACATACATTTTTATAAAAAATACACATTCATTTGTATCAGTTCATGGGCTGCTTTGTCAGCGTCTACCTTACAGCTTTACTTTTCTCCTGTACAGTAAGTACATTTTAGTTATTAAAACCATGCAGTAGGGCTTATGTCTTTTGAACAGCAGTGGATTTTCCAAATGCAAGCTAGTGATAATTGAAGTCCCACATTGCAAATACACTGTCCTATTAGAAGAAGAGATATGAGCACTTACCAAAACTCCACCCTAGGGGAGGCTCAATTTTAAGAATGAAATCCCCCTAAAAGTAAAATAAAAAATAATTTATTTTTTTTAAAAGCAACAACAGTCTTCAATGATCTGAATTCAGTTTAGCTGAAGGATGGAAAAAAAAAAAAAGTCAGAATACAAGCAGCATGCTGCAGAGAGTAACACAAGACTCAAGTGTCCCATTCTCTTCTCATTCTACCTAGTGCTCAAAGCAGCAGCAGTATCTACCCAGACAAACCAGGATTCTGGGCTTGTGTCCAGACAGCTAAGAGTAAGAATTAAGCAGCATCACGTTTATACCACTTCCACACCAACCTGGCTTATGGCCAAGCAGCTCAGTGTTAGAAGGTGTTCAAATCTCTCACCTGTCCCAATAGATGTGCTCTAAATCTGCCTCTAGTGTTTCCACTAGGTGGTCCTACTCGATCATTCTGCCCAAACATAAGATAACAAAATTCCAAACCTATTAACATTTCTGCACCAAAAGGCCATTAGACAGAGATCCTCTTTAAATCTGAAGGCACCACATATGTGCTGAAGTTCATCCATTAAAAGGCTCAAAGACCAAAGAACAAACCCACCAAGGTTAAAAAAAAAAAGTCTTAAGTCCTCAGATTTGGAAATGAATTTATTTCTGAACCATAAATTAAATGGTTCTTTAAGAGCAAAACACTTTGACCACCTGAGAAGAGCTTGTAAAAATTTGAATGTCAACATTTTTCCAGCCTAAACAGACATCAAACTTCTGCTACATTCTGAGCTTATACCATTTTTCATATTTAAGAAAACTCTAATATCTGCAATTACTTATTCAAGATATTTTCAACTCAGACATATCAACACACATTTTTATACAGATTATTTATTTTCATTTCCATTGGTAGATGACTTAAAGCTTTATCTCTACTCAGATTGCAAGAACCTGTACTTTTTATTCATTCTTCGTACAACTGCTAGCACATCACAGTTGTCGTCAGTAACTATAGCTCCTAATGCTGCAGTGACACAAATAAAATAGCACAAACACAATGCTGCAGCTAAAGTTACCTGGCTTTTCTCATGATGGCTTTTCTCTCACTTACCACTGAGAAATAGAACAGCTGCATTACAAAAGGAAACCGTGGAAAGCTTTATTATTATTTTATTTGTTACGTGTACTGTTCAGACACTTCATCTGCCTGCAGATGTGGAAGCAGCTCGTGCCCCCAGTGCAGGGGAGAAGCAGCAGCGCCGTGTCAGTTCCTTACCTTATCATAGAGGGGAATCATGAAATACCCATTGTTTGGAGCACAATCTGTTTGGTATTTCAGAGTACCGTGCTTTGTGTACAACTTAATCTATAAGAAACAAACAAAAAAAGGAGAAAAGTGTGAACGGGGGTGGAATCAGGTGCTCTCTACTCAAGTGTTTGTACACGTTAGGGGCTGCACGATCCCCAGGGGTAACAGAGGTGGCAGGGCAGAGGTTCACTGCAAGAAGGCTACGCTCTGCCAAGTGAAAACCAGCAGAGACCTGGCCTCAGGAGAGCCCGAGGAACACTCCAGGAACCCCACTTCACACAGCAGCCCCCCATAGCACCTGCCAGCTCGGGGCGCACTCAGGGCACGGGGGCAAAGCCTCGCCCAGCCGCTAACCCCGCAGGCCGGCCTGCCAAAGGGCAGGGAGGAAGAGGGCCGGCGGCGCCCACCTCGATGAGGGAGTAGTTGATCTCCACGTCGGACTTGACGAAGCCTCCGCAGCCCACCACGATGTCCTCGGAGCCCCGCACCAGGGCGCAGCACAGGGCGCAGCCCAGCGCCGCCACCCAGCCCCGCATGGCGCTGCCGCCGCCCTGCCTCAGCGCCGCCGGAAAGACCGACACCGGCAGCGGGGCGAAGCCGCGGTCGGTGCCGCCCTCTGCCGGCCCGGCGGGCCCGCTGCCCTCCGGACTTTGCTCGGCGTCTCCAGCCGGGACGGGTCGAGGCCCCTCGGGTGCGGGACGGGGGCCCGGCTGTGTGAGGAAAGGCCCTTGCCCGCCCCAGGCGCCATGGCGGCGGGCGGCTGGCTCTGCGGCTCCCCGGAGGGCTCCGGAGGGCTCGGGGTAAGTGAGCTTGGCCCTGCCCCGAGGGCTGAGGGGCTGCAGATGTACATGGGCGACGTGTGGGTAACGGCGGGCTCTCAGTGAGGAAGCTGTCACTGTGGGTGAAGGCAGCTGGCGTTATGAAATCTTCCTCTCCGAGGGATACCCGCACCCGCACACAGAATGATCTGGTTCTCTGTGCGGTTGGAGTAAGCTTGGTGAGAGGTGTGCGGGCGTGAGGTCCGACTGCGCTGCTGGAAGGGTGTGCAAGTAGCCTGTGGTCCGTGTATTGTCCTCAGGAAGTGTCTGCTGAGTGACCCAGTACAGCGACAGCTCTAAAAGGGCACCGATGAGTCGATCAGTCCAGGATCACACAGATTTCCACTGTCAGGATTAATAAACTCCTGTAATAACTTGTGAGCCGCTATCTTCCTAATTTCATCTAGTGATTCCTTTCTCCGAGCCTTGCTTGGCATCACATTCTTTACATAAAGGATTTGGGCCACCTCTGCAAGCTGCTACAGAAAAAATTCACTATTTGACTCAAAGCTGGAACAATCATGTCCCAACCAGCCCCACCTTCTTCTCCAGCAAAAATTGAGGGCCAAGGTTTTCCCACTTGGCTGCTTAAACTTTGGCTTCAGATTGCTTTAGGAGCACCTAGTAAAATACACTTCTCGGACACAGAGTAGCTGCAGGTTCCTTGGGAATCAGGGTGAGCTGTAGACATGTTGAGTACCTCTGAAAAAACAGGTCATTGTTCCTTCTGTGCTAATAGGTCATGTAGGAATGCTCCTTTTGCCACACAGTTTGGGAACATATTACTGAGTGGCTCTTTTGTCTCTTATGTGCACAAGTACCAGAATCTCTGAGGCTTACTTAGCAAGTAAACCAAAGCCTGCTTAAAATACCTGAGTGACACTGACTCATCTGAACCATGTTCTTGTACAGGTCCCTGATGTTCCTGGCAATTACCTGGTCCCCTAGATCTGTCTGGATGGAGTCTTTGCTGTAAATTTAAACCAAATGCTTTGAGTCTTCCTTCTCACATGTCCATCTGCAGTTGCTGCATTGTTAGTTTTATTATGTTAACAGATGAGATTCAACTATTTATTCAGTCAGAAAAAAATATTAATGGATTATAAATACAGCTGGGGAAATGCAATTCTGATGCAGTTAATGCTCTGGGACACTTCTTTCCTCCTTATCTCTACTTCACCAGGCATTCTATACTGACCACTCTTATGGTTCCCAAATGCTGATAATCTTTGTGCTTCCAAAATTATTTTGTCTCATTTCACATTCAGTAACTTAAATTTCCTCCTTTTTTTTTTCTTCTTCAGTTCTGACGCATTATGTCTTTTCTTTGGCATCTTTCCCTTTTCAAACCTTTTTTTTTTCCTTTTTCCACCTTCACTCCCTCCAAAATGCTACTGCTGATCTCTCCCTCCTTCCTTCACCTGTGGCACCTTACGGTTCTCCCGCAGCTCCTCGCTTGCCAAATGTTTTTTACGTTTGAAACCCAATGTTAAGTTCCTCTAACATTAGGCTCAGTTGGAGCATTAGCAACTTGCATTAGCTGGTGAAATTCTGCATACATTAGCATTACTGTTTTAATTCTGTGTTGCTTTTGTGACAGGACTGGAACCAGACATGGCACACAAAGATCCCAAGATTTACCTGGTGCTTTGAGAAGACAGTCATTGCTTGGATCCCCTGTGCCTATCTTTGGATCAGTTTTCCCTTCTACTACATGTATCTTCGATACAAAAGCAATGGCTATATCAGGATGTCCCACATCTTCAAAACTAAAATGGTAAAGGAGGAGGATGGGGTTTGATCCTAGCATTATTGCAACTTCGATGCAGAACTTAATTTTTCTAAATCATTAACTCTTTTCTGATGACCCACCTCTGTGTTTACTTTGACATTTACCCAGTCAGGTAAAGTCATATCAGCACAAATCAAGTAAATCTTTAGGAGTAACTGTCACAGGATCTTTCCTTTTATACCTCCATGTGTTTTCCTACTACTTCCCATCATATTCTCTATCCCATATCTGCTCTTTCACCTCTCCAGTCTTACAGCCCAGGCTGCTTAGAACAGTCAGTTCAGTGGATCATCCCATCATGATTTCACTCTATTTCAACATGTGTTTGCTGTCTCCGCCTCAGGTCCTTGGATTCCTCCTGGTAATGCTGTGTTTTTCTAATGTCTTCTTTGTACTATGGGAAATAAGCCAAGGAATTCCACGGACTCCAGCATTCTTCATTAGCCCTGCAGTGCTGGGGATCACAATGGTAATTCTTCTTCTGTCTGTGTGTGGCCCAGCTTAGCCCTCCTGGGGCAGATCTTTATTTCCCATATTTCTCAGTGTCTTTGAGCACAAAGATAGCTGATGGGGAATAGAAGGCTGGAGCCATGCTTTATGACTTGGGCTGTATGAAGCAGCAGGGGACTGGAGCTGGAGCAGTGGATCTACAGCTACATTACATAGTCCTGTGGGTCGAATATGCCTCAGAAGAGCTGAAGCAGCAGTAATGCCTAGAAAGAGGTCTCAGAGCAAGATCCAGTATGTGATTTATTATGGCTGGTATCATGATGGGATTTCTATTCAACTAAATGCCTGCCATTGCATCTTCATAGCCTAGAGTCTTCTAGCTTGTTGGCCCAGTTGTGGTTTTACTACTTGCTCTTTCAATAGTGACATTCTGCAGTACAAAATTGTGCATAATTCCTTCACAGTTTTAGCCGTTTAGGAACAATACTTCAGTTCTGAGCATCTTGAAATATTTGGACTAGAAACTAGTTGATTTTGCTTTATTGTGTTCATTAATTTGATAGTAATGTTTGGCATTCCACTACCAGCTATTTATATATTTCTACTTCCTCACAGATCCTTGCCATGGTCCTTACCCAGGCGGAAAGAATGATGGGCATCCAGTCCTCAGGCATCTTGTTGATATACTGGCTGCTCTCATTCTTGTCTGCGGTTGTGATGTTTAGTTCCAAAATCCAACATGGCCTGGAAAGAGTAAGTGAAATCATGTGGCTTTAATACGCAAGGGTATGAAGTCTCTCAAAAATATAGCTCTTTTTGCCTCATTGATTGTGAGGCAAAGAACCAAATTCCTTTCTTAAGATCTGTGCTGAGAAAACTGATGGATGACTCTTTGTCATCTCTGCTTATGTTTTCCCTTTCACTGTAGTGTGGTGAAGAGCTTTTACATCATTCTCAAGAGCGTTCTGTTTCTTAGGGCTTCTTGGAAGACCCTTTCCACCATGTTGCAACTTACCTTTATGTTAGCCTGGTGTTTGGTGAACTTGTGTTATTCTGCTTAGTTGATCACCCTCCCTTCTTCTCAAAAGCTGTCAACGATCCAGTAAGTATAATGTAGCTTTTCATAATGCTTTATATCATTGCTCAAATAGGAATTCAGACTTTGGGGGATATGCAGAAACATGATTATCTGGAAGATGCAAAATGCATCATTCCATATAAAGGCCAATGGTTTTAAAAAGTAACCAGCTGAATTTGGGATAACCACTTTGTCTCTCTATGTATCTTTTGAAAAAATAACGACCTTTTCGATCCACACTCACGTTTGTTTTCACTTAAACTAGTGTAGGGCTCATTTTGCTTCTCCATGGTCTTCTGTGCAGCAGTACATTCCTCTGCCTGACATATGAGTATGGCAGAGCTCTGTGCTTCAGAAAGTAAATGTCTGAGTAAGAAAAATAATATTCTTCCTTCCTCCATCTGAGAAGTTACTCAAAGCCTATTTCTCCAAAGTTTCCTGATCCCATTGATCCTTCTCAATACATTTACACTGTCAGAGGCAGTGAATGGGGGCTGGGTAACTTTTTAATTGTTTTTTCCTTGGGGAGTACAGAAGAGACATCATTGGAAGCACACTCTCTTCTCTATATAAATATCATCCATGTTTTTCTTTCCATCAGAATCAGTGTCCAGAAGCCAACAGCTCTTTTCTGTCCAAAATCACATACTGGTGGTTGTCTGGGTAAGAAAACATAGAAGACATGGTTTTGCTAGAACATAAGTTAAAACAGCAGCATAAGAGGGTGTACATGAGAACCAGTCAGAAGCATCTCAGCCCCCAAGTTAACTTATGTAGTGAGGATTTAACTTCCTTCTCTGGGGACTTGAGCTATTCTCACAAGATCAAATTATAAAAAATTAGCTTACTATTTTAAAGCACCATTTGTGATTCTGGATAATACTCTCCCTGCTTACAGCAGGCTTCCAGTGCCTTCTTTATCTTTAAATAGGCTTCAGCAATCTCAAAAAATCGCTGTACACCAACCATGCTCCTATCTGCCTGCCAGACCTTCTGTAACAAATGCTGGTCAGAGAGAAAATACTGGATGAGGATATTGGTCTAACCTGCTGCTTAGTTTTCAGAAGTAAAATGATGACATACCTTCACCTAATGTCAACTCTGGTAATGCTTCCTCTGTTTCACTGAGCCACAGAGTAAGTTAAGCTGAACTTTGTCCCCACTGTCCAAGACCCAACTGTCAGTATTGACTAAAATAGAATTAGGGCTTACTTGGAAATCACAATTCTGTTGACAGAAGATAGTATAGGGATTTAAAGCAAAACTGCTGCTCCTAAATGCTCATATTTATTCAGGGAAAGGATATTCCTAAGTAGTGTTTATGGAAGTCCCTATGTACTCACTGTGGAGCACTAACTTAAAGCCCACCTGTTTTGAAAACATTACACCTGCAACAAATCCTTCTGCACTTACCTTACAGATGTCTGTGTGTTCTCCAGGCTTGTCTGGAAAGGCTATCAGCGGTCCTTGGGGGTGGATGACCTGTGGTCAGTGAGGAAAGAGGACTCCTCTGAAGAGATTGTTACCTGGGCTGAAAAAGAGTGGAAGAAGTATCATAGCAGAACCAAGCAGTGAGTACTTGATCTAGAGAGTGTGTCATGGATTCAGCTGGGCAGTTTCTTTCTCCTCTAAATGATGTAAACAAATACACTCACAGAGGCTGACTTGTCATCTCAGAAGAAGCTTAAAGCCCCCCCGTTTCCCACAATGTGCTAGACAGACTGCTTCAGTACATTCTCAGGTTCTGAATGTAAGCTTTGTTGGTGTTTCTGATCTGAACAAGGTAGAAATCCCACTGAGTTATTTTTCTGTTAAATTCAAAGGGTATTCTACATAAAATCTGAGTAACTCTCTGCTATGAAAACTTAGTTCACTTCTTCACTCTTCGATGGGTGAGCACTTAGTGAGTTCCTTTGTGCAAAATCACATTTTAAATGTTGAAATCTGCTGGAGAACACCTTTAGTTCCTGGAAGCTTGGAGCTATAAGATTCTTTTGAGAGGGGACATTTTTCAATGTGCATTTATACTGGACATGGCATGAGATGCACTTTAGGATATTTAATGATTTTTTGAAAACACAAGATCCTTAATCTTGTTCCAGTTACAGCTAGCTTTTCCATTGTTTCTTTAGAAACAAGGAGTCTGCTACTTTTAAAAAGGGTCAGAAGAGTGAAACTGGTACAACAGAGGCTGAAGAGACAGAGGTTCTACTGCAGTCAGAGCACAATCAGAGCAGGCCCTTACTGAAAGCATTTTGGAGCATGTTTGGAACCTATTTCCTTCTCGGCACCCTCTGCTTAGTTATCTGTGATGTCTTCTTGTTTTCCATCCCAAAGATACTGAGGTATGTGAGTATTTAGAATTTATTTCCCAAAGGAGACAACATATGTACAAGATTGCTGCATACATGAGCACACAGAGATGTATATGCCAGCACTCACAGAGCTGGATACACAGACACTTTTGAAGTCTCTGATTACTGTTGAAAGGAGCTGGATTATCATTGGTGCTAAGCTCACAGTCAATTCAGTGAAAAAGACATCACTGTCTAAAGCAGTGCACACCCTCTCCATTGCTGTAAAAGATACTTAGCCCTCTGTCCATCTCTTCTACTATTTTACTGACAAAGATCAGCTATAGAGAATACAGAAAAATCTCTGGTACTTCTGAATTTCTGGTATTTCATCAGTTAGACATGAATTCATCAATATTTTGCTCCTGTCTTTTTGCTTCCAGCCTTTTCCTGGAGTTCATTGAAGATCAAGAAGCCCCTAGCTGGCATGGTTATTTCTATGCCTTCATTATGGTCCTGCTAGCTTGCCTCCAGACTCTGTTTGAACAACGATATATGTACATGTGTCTTGTTCTGGGACTGAAACTGAAAACTGTAGTAACAGGGCTTGTGTACAGGAAGGTGAGTCTGTAGGTTCATTTTCAAATCTTTTTTCCTAGCCCTACATTAGTAATTATGACATTATTGGTACAATGTTCTTAATATCAAGGAAGATATTACTAGAGAACTACTTCTAGCATGTAGTTCTGTGCTATATTCATCTCTGAACAGTGTGTGGGAGGTATTTTACTATTTGGTTTTCAATCTTACCTCTAAAAGGAAAGCCAAGAAAAGGAAGCAACATAAGATTTCTTACATTGTAGATTATGGTCAGGGAAGGGAGTAAATTTTTCACCCTAAAGTGAAGTCACATATCCCAGGCAACAGTACATTTTCATTACGTAGGATTTGACCTTTTTCTTTTTTTCCTTTCTTTATAAGGGAAAGTTGTTTGATTTTTAGATCAAAGCTGTTGTTGACACTGCCTTTCCTTTATTCTCTACCCTGTCTAGATCCTAATAATGTCAAACGCATCAAGGAAAGCAGTAACAGTAGGTGAAATCGTTAACTTGATATCTGTTGATGTCCAAAAGCTAATGGATCTTATTATCTATTTTAACGGGACCTGGCTTGCTCCGATTCGGATTATCATCTGCTTTGTCTTCTTGTGGCAGGTAAAATATGATGATGGTACCTATCGAACCCCTTCTGTTTCAGGTATCAGAGGAAAAAGAAGCTTTCAAAATTCTTATTAGAGCTTTTCTGGCCTGAACAACCTGAAATTGCCACATTTTTCTTAGCTGCTTAGCATGGGGCATTCACTTGCATTGTTAGAAGTTATTTTTATTGGAATGGAATCCTTACCTGATTCTTCAATTCATCTTCTTACCTGTGTATTCAGCATTCAGTCTCTTTTAGGGAAAACACTGGGAATGTGACTGTTCTGAGCTGCCTGTTAATATTCTGCCTGAGATTCTCCTTTATCAGCGCTCTTTTCAAACAAAATGTAGTGGCCCACTGCAGGCTCCAGTTGCAGCTCCTCTGCATGGTTACTAGTTACAAATAGCAAACTATTTGCTACTTATATAATACTATATATAATATAAAAAGTATATAAAATGCTATAAAGCATTTTATGTACAGAGTACATACCAACACTCACCTTTCTAGCAAATGTAAGCCTTCTGCAGACAGATGCAACTAAACCATGATAAATAAGCTCTCCGTTTTGGCATGCAAGTTATTACAAACCCAGATATCCAAGAGCTGTCCAAGAATATGTGGCATAATATAGTGCTGCCATTTCATTTCTCTAGTTGATGTAAATTCACACAAGATTGGTTATTTATGCCACAATAATATTTTGCTTTCTAAACAAAAACTGGTTTTGTTTTGTGTCACTTATGCCAGCCACAAGATGTCCTCCTTAACACATCCAAGAGCAACCAGGAAGCAATAGATATTACTTAAATTGCAAAGCATGTTTCTGGATCTCTTTCAACACTAATCTAGTTCCTAAAAGGGAAGCAAATAAATTCAGCAGAGCATGATGACAGGAGTTACTCTGCTTGGAGAGTTAACAATCCACAGTGCTTAGGCAGCCCAACTACCAAGAAAGGCAAAAGCTGGACTAGAGGAAAGCCTTAGACTTGGGGGATGTTAGGCACCAATTTCAAATCAGAAGGAAGGTAAGCAAGGAGGAGTGGAAGACTTGTTTCTGTAATACCATAAGTTCTTCCTCTTCTCTCCTGACAGCTTCTTGGGCCATCTGCCTTGACTTCAGTTGCTGTATTCCTTTTTCTTTTGCCTCTGAATTTTATGATCACCAAGAAGAGGAGTCATTTTCAGGTACATTTTGCGTCATAAAAATGAAGTGTTTTATTGACACAAATTATGCTAGGATTCAACTTTTAAACCTCAGTTAAAGGCTGCCATGCTCTCCCAAGGAAGGATGACATGAAACCCACAGCTACAGAACAAATCAAAGGCTGAGGATTACAGTAGGCATGTTGTTTAAAAAACAAAAAAAATCATTGCATTGATTAGAGTCACTAACATGTGACTCTAAGAGATGGCTTAGTATGTTATGATGACCATGACTCTCTGAAGGACCACAGGAGGATTTAAAACCTACAAAGTAGATTAAACTCTTCTGCATGTTCAGTCTTTTACTTTGTGTCTGCCCACCTTTTCTGTTCTTGTTTGTACTGTCAGTAAAAACAAAGCTCTGAAGAGAAAATGCAAGATATTTCCCAGCCTAAAAGATGTATAAGCTAAAGAGTAAACACAGCTCAACTGCAGGGAAATTTCTTCAGAATTCATAGGCAGTGTTAAGGTGTATTTGTTTTTTGTTTTTTTTTTCCAAAATAATTGTGCAGTTAAATATGCAACCTGCTAAGTGATAAAACTCAAACATTTATTACAGGAGGCCCAGATGAAACATAAAGATGAGCGGGCCAAACTTACCAATGCCATTCTTAGCGATATTAAAGTAATCAAGCTGTATGGCTGGGAGAAAACCTTCATGGAGAAAGTGCTTGGTATCCGGAAGCAAGAACTTAAGGCCCTAAAAAGATCTCAGATTCTCTTTTCAGCATCTCTAGCTTCCTTCAATTCATCAACTTTCCTGGTGAGTGACTCACCTTCCTACATAAAATGTGCTATTACTTCAATTTCTCTTTGTGGTCCTGTCTGGACAGATTTTTCCTGTTGGACAGCTAGAGATAATGTCTGCCTGGAGGAGTTGGTGGTCTCACAGGAGGAGTTGAGCCCCAGTGGGATCGGCTGCAGACATTTACACTGTCCTAGCAGTTCCATGGACAAGTTACCTGGTCTGATGACATGTTCCAAGCAGATGGAGACTGCTTTGTAGGAATCACCTGGAGATCTCCAGCTTCACAGAGTTCACAGCACAGTCAGTATCTGCACGAGCCACTTCTGTATATGCTGTTGCAGGTCAGCCATATGTGTTTTAAATGGAGAATGGCTGTGTTTTCACCTTACTGTGACTGCAGCACGAAAACTTCCTTAAAGGAGAACAAACATCAAATGGTCAGAATTGGTTTTGTCACCTTCACCTACGATATTTGCAGGCCAGTGGTATCATGTATATGGATGATAGCCTGGGTTCCAGGGCATGTAGGAAGGGACTTGCCACCTTTGAATCATTCTCTTTTCCCTGTCTGAAGCAAATGGTTTGCTTTTTCTTTGCTCCTTTCCAGATTGCATTTGTCATGTTTGCTGTCTACACCCTGGTGGATAACACACACATCCTGGATGCTCAGAAGGCCTTTGTATCTTTAACACTGATCAACATCCTCAACACTGCACACTCCTTCCTGCCATTCTCCATAAATGCTGTTGTCCAGGTTAATTGCAGGATATGTTTCTTTTTTTTTTTTTTTTTGGCCAAAACTGTTTTTTAGATACCACCATTGAAAGGTAAAGGGAGGGATTTCTTATGGCTTTGAATTTCAGGCCAGCTATTTAATTGCTATTGTAAAAAAGTGAAGTGCAAGGAGTTGCAGCTAAAGGTACTTCAGAAGTACTGTTTTTCAGAAAGGTTGATATATTGACAAAATAGTCACTAAGAATAATTCTTAAGTCTTTTAGGGCCATATAAACGTCATATGGTGTAAGGCAGAGACTAATACTTTTTTGGTGGGCAGTATCTGGGATTAAGCTCTCTTTTAGAAGCATTAATTACCTGTTAGTCCTGTATCACAAGCACCATTAAATCTCAGACATGCTTCCAGTTCTATTTTTAATCACAGAGATCAGAACAAATGGGGCAAAATCTCCATGGGAGATCAGAAGAACCTTGCTAGCCGAGGCCAGAGAGAAAAGCAAGTCATTAGTGAGAAATTGGAAAATTTTGCTTCTCTCTTGCACTTCAAGAAGACTGTCATGATTCTTCATATACAGGAGCAATCACTGGGAAAATTGCAGGATGAATTTGGGAAAAAAGCAGCAATTTCAAGCATTTGAACAGAAAATACATGGAAGAACATGGCTTTTTTGTTTAAGTGGAAATAAATACGATTAACTTAGGGAAGAGCTGCATTTGTCCATCTAAGCCTACATAGCATCTGCAACATAGCACCTAATTAACAGTCTTCAGTGGGTTTTCAGTATGAGTCTTACCTTCTAGTTGTACTCCCTTTCTATTCTAAATCTTACTGTTTTATGTGCTTCTTCATTTTCAGGCCAAAGTTTCTTTTAACCGCTTAGCAGCTTTTCTGAATCTGGAAGAACTGAATCCCGAGAGCTCAAACAGAAACACTTCTGACTGTGGTGAGCTTCTGTCTTAGTGTTGTCTTACAAGAGGAGTAGCTTCCATTGTTCAGCTTCCAGAATGGTGCCTACCACAGTCAAGAGAGAAAAATGTTTGCCTTTTACCATCACTTTCTCTCTCAGGCCTATTTATTTCTAACAGTAAAATCTAGTCTGGTAATTAACCCTTCTTTTGAGAATTGAAGTTCATTTTATATAAATAAAAGCACATACTGAAACATAAACAGGGATGTTTCTATACTTACTTTTGAATTTCACAAGTGTTCTTTTTCTCCTTATATCTTAGTACAGGCAAGTATCACCATAAGAAACGGAACATTCTGCTGGAGCAAAGAAATGTCTCCTTGTCTTAGAAGGTACAGCCGTAACTTTAGTCATCTCAGTTCTGTAGGTTAGGGTGGGTGCTAAATGAAAGAATTCTTCACAGCCCAAAGTGAAATCAGTGTGGAATATGTACAAGTGTCTGAGTTTGCTTCATATTTAACATTGAATTCTGAAAATTAAAAAGTCAGACAAAATGTATTATTGCTTTTACACCTGTCTTAATGGGAACACAGAAATAGGAAGGTCTCTGTATCTGAATGTTGCCTTCATATGCAGAGACTGTTTTCCTTACACAATTTGTTGAAACATGGAATTACACTAATGTAAGTGTAAAAAAAAGTCAGCATAACTACAGCAAGAACGTTGCTTTTTTTCTTTTCAGAAAACATATCTAAAAGGTGGTCAAAGACTGATTGAGGTGGGGTGCTCTTTTCTCTATAGGATAGATCTTACTGTGCCCCAAGGCTCCTTGATTGCTATAGTTGGCCAGGTGGGTGCTGGAAAATCTTCCTTGCTGTCAGCATTACTTGGTGAGCTGGAACAGATGGATGGCTGCGTGACTATGAAGGTAAATTTTTCCCTTAGCATTTGCTTCTAATTAGGCTGTCTTCAGGAACAGTAAGGTATCAATGAAGTCATCAGATATACGATGAAAACCTACTTAGTGCTGAACTTTTAACAAAATTTATAGTGTAGCAGCCTTCATTTAGTCATCAAGAGGTGCTTAAGACCTGCCAGATGAGTTTGACCTGTGGGAATGGGAATTGGAACAGGATTTTGGAGAGCCGGTTCCATTTCCCACTCTAGCAGTGAGCTGAAGTGACATTATAGTAAGTAACATCACTTGAAATTCTGTTTCCTCCTCTGTAAGACAGTGAGGGTGCGATCCTTTTATTTTGAAAAGGGCTCAGACCCTTAAATGGTGATGATCATTCCATATTTTTATAAAGCTAATTGGGGAGGGGTTTTCTTCAAAGACCGGTTCCCACATGTCCACGTTGTGCTTATGATTGGTAATATTCTTCCATTTCCATTTTTATAGGGCACAGCAGCTTATGTTCCCCAGCAAGCATGGATACAGAATGCTTCAGTGGAAGATAATATTCTCTTTGGCAATGAGATGGATGAAGCATGGTTTAATAGCGTGGTTGATGCTTGTGCATTGCAGCCTGATTTGGAGAGCTTCCCAGCAGGGCAGAAGAGTGAAATAGGCGAGAAGGTACTGGCCCAGATCTATGAAAAAGTTTGTCAAAATATGAGTAATGACAACTTTGGATGTCCCACTTAAAACAATGAGAAATGGATTAAACTTGCAAGAGGCAGGTACTCAGGAATTTCTGAAAAATTGGGCTACAGCTTACTGGGGTCTGAAGCCCACCTCCTGACAGTTAAGTTAATGAGAGATATAAGAGACGCTTAACAAGAGTAAACAAATCCAGGTCATTCTTGGGTCCTTGTTTGCAGGAGAGCAGAGTTGCTCAGAAGATACCTCTGTCTCAGCATCTCAAGAGCCTCATTTCTTGGGGGGTGGCGGGGTAGGAGGGAAGAGGGGAAATACAAAGGCACTGATTTAAAAGTAAGTCATAAACCATCAGTGTAAAATGGAGTTATGAGCTTATAAATATGCTGTAGCTTAGGAATAAAGTGTCAATGCATTTTTACAGGGAATAAATATATCTGGAGGCCAGAAACAAAGAGTGAACCTTGCTCGTGCCGTGTACCAGAAGGCTTCAATTTACTTACTAGATGACCCCCTCTCGGCTGTTGATGCCCATGTTGGACAGCACATTTTTGAACACGTTCTTGGACCTAATGGCTTACTGAAGAACAAGGTGTGTTATAAATCCTGAACTTTAAGAGACATCAAAATCTATATAGTCATAAGGGCACCCCAGATGTTTCCAGTAAGGTAGGTTACTTTATCAAAGGCTCCCAAATTCTTTTTTGATAGTCCCAGGTAGGTACTGCTGTTAGCAGCAATGGAAGGGGAGTGGGTAACCTCTGCAGCCCACACAGCACACTGAAGTCCTGCAGTGAATCTCACCTAGGTTGAATTCTCCTGAAAGACTACCTCCATCCTCACTCAGCATGCCTAATTCCAGCCTTACTTCTACAGCAAGTCTGTAGTTCTTTTGGTCTTCTGTCAGCATTATACTGGTGCCTCTTTGGATTTATTTCTAGTATAGTTTGGAAGAACTGTATTTCACTTCCAGTTCATCACATTTTACCACAATTTCTCATTCCATCACTTTTGAATACTTCAGTACCAACTTTACAGTTCTCATCACCCAACTGTTCATCGCTTCAGTCTCAGGATTCACCTTAACCTCTTCTCTTCCTTTCTTCTTTGCATTGGATGCATTTTGGTATTCCTTGTTTTTTCTCTGTTGTCAGGCAATAGAGATGATAAATGCGGGTGCATGAGAAGGTCTGGTGGGGCACCTCTATTTGTTTCATGATATAAATTAACTACAATTATTTTATTTGATTTCAGGTTGTAGAAGAAAAAGAGGTATTTATTTTCATCAGAAAGTCCAACTAAAACAGACGCGTCTGTGATTACAAATGCCTTTTTTCATGAGTAGATTGGTTGCAGGTATCAGAATATAATTATTATGCTCAAACGTAGAAAGACTGGCAAAGAAAACAGGTATCAGATTTAAAATGTACTCAAAGGGCTTGATTTTATATTAGAAATGTAGAACACACCAATTTCTTATTTAGGGAAAAAGTGACAGGAATAAACAACAAAAATATCCCCGTGTTAGCAAAAATTACAGGTTCACACTGAGGACGTCTTCTTACAAGATAGCTAACTGCACCAGCCCAAGTGAGCAGGGGAACACTGGAACAATTTAACTCTTTCTTCAAGCAGACTCGTGTTCTGGTGACTCACACGATCAGCATTTTGCACCAAGTGGACAACATTGTTGTGCTGGTGGATGGAATGATCTCAGAAATTGGTTCCTACCAAGAACTTTTACAGAGAAATGGGGCTTTTGCAGAATTTCTTCATTCGCACAGTACTGCAGAAGAAAAGGCATGCTCTGGCTTTCCAGGTAACCTAGACAAATTGGAATTGTTTTACCCAGACCTATCAGTCATTTGTTTCCTTAATGTTATATTTAACTAACTAGGGGTCTGCTGCTGTTAACAGCTGGGAAGAGGGAAAAGAGAATAAAACAGGAAAAGCCAGCTGTAGATTTTTCTTTGAAGGACACTTAGAGCAAGGATCTCATCACAGGAATCTGTCGCTTTATATGAAAATATGCCAGTTAAATGAGCTGTGTCATCACCTCAAAACTGGTTCTTGAATTAAGTTTCATCTTAGTAGGCAACAGTCATGCATTTAACATAATTACCCACTATATGTGCTGTTCTTCAACCTTGACTTTGATATTTCTACCCCCCTTAGAAAGAATTCTTTGTAATGGATCTTTCCTCTATGTTACAAGTGTCTCAAAGGCTATACAAGACAAAATGGTATTTGTAAAGCACTTGGAGAAAACAGTGCATTTATTTCACAGCTATAGGAGACACCAGCAGCACCGTCACCTCTAGAAACTGTCCATCACAGGAGAAGTTCTTTAGGTAAGCTTCAAGCTGTCTCACACACCAAAGAACTTGCTCTTAGAGTCCATTAAGAGCCTACACAGAGTCTCTTAATGAATACAATGCAGGCTTGGGTTTGATCTTTAATAATGACAAACGAGCAAAACTCAAGACCGGCTAAAGAACTGCTTTTGAATATGGATGTTGTTCATATTAACATATTTCCCAAGGAGACAGAACTTGTCCTAGAGGTCACTATGAGGCATATGGATACATTTACCTGCTGTTCAATTCCTAGGGGGGCTGTAAGGTCTGACTCGTTTCACACCAGCCACAGCTAGTGTATGCTCAAAGCCTCTGTTAATGGCTTCACTTGACAGAGCCCACTGCCTGTGATATGTATGGACACCTCTTGGGGTCACTCTGGAGGATCACAAAAACTGCAGCCTTTGAAATAAGCATGAACAATGGGGAGATGGGTGAGGACAAGTAAGCTTCCTGAATTCCCATACCTTATTTGACTCTGGGAAAATGGCATTGCCATTGTAGGAATCATTTTAATGTGATCTAGGGAAGAAGGAAGGGCAGTGCAGGTTTGCACTCCATCATAAACATACACGATGGTGGGATTCCCTGGATCTAAATAGGCTTTAAAATACTAATTGCCCTAGCTAAAAATTAAAGAATTTTTGTTTTCCTTATGAAGCGACAATTCAGTCAAATCTGCTACGGGAAGGGAGACCACTCATGCAAGTCAAAACACTACTGCTGCTGCAGCCACTAAAGGAGTATTAACCACAGGAGAGAAAGCTCGGCATGGCAGGGTAAGCTCCGCACTTTCCTTTCAAGACAAAGATAAGTACCGTGGGTTTATTACTGACCCACTCACCCCCATCATAGGTGGGTCACCTCACTACCTAAGTTAAGGTAGTGCAGCTTCAGAACTGTCAGCGGAGTTGTCCAAATTTGTCTTGTAATGGAGACAAAATTACTTCCAAACTATTTTATGTAACACCTCCTATGTAAACTGTATCTCCCAACATGTGCCCTGATCTAAGCAGTGGTTTGAAAATTGGAATACCGTTGCAGAAAATACGCGATGGGAATGAGAGAGGAAAGAGTAATTTATGACCACTTGAGAAGAGAGAGCCTGATTCAAGAATTATTAGAAGGGAGTGGGCATCCTGAGGCAGTCAGGGTGAGGTGGTAGCAAAAAAACATAAGAGTACACATTACAAGGCAATTGTAATCTTGGATCTGGCTGTAGGTTCTTAAGGCTGATGGGAAGGGGTGAAGAGGCACATCACTCCTCTCATCTTTCCCAAGAGGTACACTTCAAAAGGCCAAGGCAAGGAATAATGGCTTCATTATTCATCCACCAGGAAAATAAGGAAAGAATTAACGTTTGCTGTAGCCCGTGACATACTCAGCAGATATGCCCTCATAAATCATTGTGTTTCAGAGCTGTTTTTCATTGCTAACATGCTTAATCCTTCCAACCTCTCCTTCCATCTCCTTTTCTTTTTTCCTAATTGTTTCACTCTAGGTTAATACTTCGATTTATGCAGCCTACCTGAAGGCAACAGGCATACCGCTGTGTGTGTACATCGTTCTGTTGTTCATGTGTCAGCAAGCGTTATCATTTTTTCGCGGTTACTGGCTCAGCATGTGGACAAATGACCCTGTATACAATGGTACACAACAACACACAGAGCTAAGAGTTGGAGTCTTTGGTGCACTAGGAATCATTCAAGGTTCGTTTAACTTGCTCACCTAATTCTTCTCTGTGTTTCCCATATCCAGGATGTTTTCTAAGAATATAAACAAGTGTATGCCCATGGGCTCTTTACCTCCCAGGCTCTTGGCACCAGCCCTAAAAGTTTGGCATGGGACCTAAGGCTACAGGCTCTGACGCACAGAGAGGATTTCTAAGGGATCTGAACATTTTGAATGTTACTGCTTGAAATTCCACCTCATGATGTACTAGAAGTGTTCTGTGCCTTTCAGCAGACCATGACCAATAGTCTTCCTCTGTAGTTCCTGCTGGAACTGTGTTTATCTGGACCAAAAACAAAACAAAAGAAAAAATCATCAACAAAAGAACTACACTATCCTTATTTTTCCATCCCACCCCCTTATATCCAACATTTTCTACATTTTTCTTCCTCTCATCTCTTTCCACTCCTCCATTATAAATGAATTATAACCAAGTGCCATGGTGGATCTTTTTTCATGCTGAATTAAGTCTTGGTTTAGGCTTTTTAACTGTAAGGAAGAAAAAAAGAGAAACTTGGAAGACTTTATATTCCTTTAAACCGTAAAAAAATTGCCACAACTATTTTGATCAATCTTAAAACTTGCCTGTTTTAGAGCAGAAATCAAATCTGAAAAGACAGCAAGCTAAGTAGCAGAAATTTGAGAAAGCTTTTTGGAAGTTCAAAAGAGCAGGAAGGATTGGGAACCTTTCTGTGCCAACAGCAAATCTGTAGTCCAAAAGCCTAGAACTTCCGAGTAATTCAAAGTAGTTCCAGTCTAGCTCATTTTGTGAAGAACAGTTTCTGTGCATTTATGTTGCTGAACTCCTCTGCAATCCCAACTACCGTAGAGAAAGGCTAGTTTACCTTGCAGCTCTGAGGCTTGGCTTAATTGCTACCAAAGATAAAGGCAGCTCCTTTCACCACTATTGTATTCACACTACGAAGTGAAAGTCATGATCTTGCAAAGGGAAACTCCAAGGTGATTGTTCAGACCCAGTAACACTGATTTATTTCTTTTTTTTTTTTTTTTTTTTTTTTAATATTGCAGCCATTTGCAGATTTGTCTCCACAGCAGCAGTCCTTCTAGGTGGTGTGATAGCTTCATATAAGCTGTTTCTGCAGTTGCTAAGGAACGTTGGTAGATCCCCGATGGTCTTCTTTGAGCAGACACCCATTGGAAACTTATTGAACCGCTTCTCCAAAGAGATGGATGCCATCGATTCCATTATCCCTGACAAGCTGAAATCCTTGCTGGGATTTCTGTTCAACTTGGTGGAGATCTACCTTGTGATCATTGTGGCTACACCAAAGGCAGCGATGGCCATAGTGCCTTTGACTGTTTTTTATGCTGTGTTCCAGGTAGGATCTCATAGAAATGTGTAGACAGAAAAGTAGCACGTCCATGACCTTGCAGAAAGCCTGCTCCCATTTCTTAGGAGCAGAGCCATGCAGAAACTATTTTCATCATCTCCAGTTGCATTTGAGTAACAATAACATCAGCAACATTTCCCATGTCACCTCAACCTTCCAAAGCACCTCTGAGAGGCTTTTATTTTTCTATTGTCCAAATCAAATCCCACCTAGAGCTATATTCCTAGTCTCCATTAGTGTAAATAAAATCATATCAAAACCAAATGCACTTTTCCTTTTCTCCAGCATTCCTATGCTGTCTTTTTTTTTTTTTTAAATACAACCATGTATACGAGGCCATTGCTCCATTGGACTCAAATGCTTAGCAAGGTAAGGCTAAACAGAAGAAAAAAGGACATAAGTGTGCATGCATGGCTCCATTCTCCATCAAGGGAAGGGCAGGTCTACAGGAGAAAGTAAACATGAGTTTTGAGGCTTTGTGAGTTCAGAGTACCTCGGCTTCTTTACATTAACCAGCCATGGGGTTACTCTCCATGGCAACAGAAGATAACACAGGCAAAAAGGCTACTGCACCTTTTAAGGGCATCGCCTGCCTGCACATTAGATTTTATAACGGTAGGATAGTACGTACTGTTGCACTCACTGAGCCATTTCTCAACTTTCTGTGGAGCATCTCTACAAAGGCATTAACCTTCTAGTCACTTCTCTTTCCATTTCCTTTTGTACCAGCACTTCTATGTCATCACCTCCTGCCAGCTGCGACGCATGGAGGCTGCCAGCAGGTCACCCATCTACTCCCACATTTCAGAAACTTTTCACGGAAGTAGTGTGATCCGTGCTTACAAAGACCAGGAGAGGTTTATTTTGAAGAGCAATTTCCTAGTGGATGAGAATCAGAGAATATGCTTCGCTGGAGCAGTTGCTGACAGGTACAGATCTGGAGTGGAGAAGAAATGACAGTTTACTCCCATGGCCCTTGTGAGTAGAGGTAGCTGCTCTTGGGGTGTGGGTGGAGATACTCAAAAGATGAGGTGCACAGTTGTTGAGGAGTTAAGGTAGTTTTTCACTTCATCACTCATATTACACCTCTCTGGCAACATTACTCCTCATCCAACTGATATACTCCATCTCTGTTGTACAGTGAGGCAGACGTACTGACACACAGCTAGAGGTATAATCTGATGTCCAAAATGCATAGCTCTAGCACATGCCTGGTACAGCCCATCATTATGTGGCAGAATGCTTGAGGCCTGTGGGATATGCAGAACCCATCATACAACAGACCCATCAGCCACAAACAGGTGAGCAGCAGCAGAGTGAGAAAGGTTAGACCAATTAACCCGACAAGCTATGTGCTAGCTGCGCTCACCCAACAGCCTTTGGATAGAAAATCCTAGCAGAGGTGATAGGTCAACCAGTTTGGACAGCCTGGAGTCATTCATGAGCTACAAAGGGGCCGGTTAGGAGCCTCACAGCCACAACAAGAGCTTTGTTGTGCACCCTGTACCCTCAACAGTCCCACAGCTGTTTTGCAAAGTAATCACAGGTGCTATGGGGAGAAAGTAGGAGGGTGCTTAACAACAGTTCTGTACTGTCCTTCTCTTGCAGGTGGCTTGCCACAAACCTGGAGTTTCTAGGCAATAGCATTGTATTGTTTGCAGCACTATTTGCAACAGTTGGCAGAAAACACCTTAGTCCAGGAACTGCTGGCTTCTCCGTTTCATATGCTCTTCAGGTAACTTAGCGGTGAAGTAATACCATGCTTGCCTTGCAAAATCAGTTTACATTTTAATTTCTGTTACCATTTCAATTTCCAGTCATGAATTCTTTCTGTAGCTTTCTAGACACCTTCTCTTACCAAACCCTGCTGTTAATGCTGAAGCCTAGAGCGTCCAGGGCACGTGGCCCCTTAGAGATAATGAACCCAATAAACATATGCAGCAGCTATCTTTTTCCTTCTGCATCTGAATTCTATTTATTTCACAGCATGTTTCAAATAACTGAGGCATGTTCTTCAGTGTCTGTTTTATTTGCTTTTAGACTAGCTACAGAACAGCCTAAGAAAGTCACACTACCTTTAATGTCCAATCAGTAGCATTTCAGAGGAAACAGGCCAGGCTCTTTAACACAGTTTTATAACCATGGGGCCTTATGAAAGTTTGTTTTTTAGTCTTTTAAGGGATGATTTCTCAAGTAATTAGCTGATGAGGATGTCCTTGTAAATAAACACTAGAAGAAAGTTAACAGGTACCTTGTGAGCACAGGTCCAAGTTCTTTTATCTGCCCTAACATTTGTGCTTCTTCCTGCTAGATAACTGGTGTTCTAAACTGGATGGTGCGCTCCTGGACAGAAATTGAAAACAACATTGTTTCTGTGGAGAGAGTGAAAGAATACTCAAGGACTCCTAAAGAGGTAGATAGCCAACTACTGACTCGACTAGCACAGGAAAAATCTCTGCGAATTAGATTTGTAACTTTTCTGTTCCACATGGAGAACCCCTCCTGTTTTTGCCCTTTTGAAAGACCAGTTATATTTCCTTTAAAAAACTGTAGCATTTTGATCCAACTGACAGGTTGTTTTGTAACCTCTGATTATCGTATTTCCATGAGACAGTTAAGAATTAGATTGTCATTAAAATAGCTTCACTTGGTAACACTCATGGAATGAGGCATATTTTCTGCCCATATTTGGAGCATGTATTTATTGTGCGTGTTCAGATCTAACTGTGTGATAACCGATGGCTGCTAAATAGCCTTTGAGCAATTAAGAATCTCCAGTGCAATCATTTCTGTTCTGTAATAGTTATTTCTCCACATGCTGACCTGAGATCCTACTAAAGGAGATGTTCTGTACATTCCATGCACATGAATCTTTTTATTGAAACACTCAGTATCAGAACTCTGACATGCAAATAAATACTTATCCCTATTTTCAGTTACGATGACTGGGATCTTTGCATGAAGTAAAAAGCCAACGTGCAATATAAAAAGTCAGCGGCCTTTTTCTCTTTTGTAAACAGTATACAGATCAGTGTAAATTTAGCACAGATGCTTTCATAAGCTTCCTGTTTCAGTATGGCCAGCTCATTTGGTAATTTAAATCAACTTTATACACTGTTGATTGTTATCATCTGTCTAGGCACCCTGGACTCTAAATGTTAAACTTCAAGGTCAAGTCTGGCTTACTGAAGGAAGAATTGAATTCAGAAACTATAGTTTGCGATACCGACCAAACTTGGAGTTAGCTCTGAAGTGTATCAATCTAACCATCAACGGGAAAGAGAAGGTAAGCATGAGCTTCCAGAAGAGCTACAAGTGTGAGCAGTGCTTTGCAGTGATGAGATCTGAGCAGATTTAGCCCCTGTGTTACACCAAGGTACAACAGCATGTAAACAAGAATGCTGCGGTAAGGTATGAGCCCTTTTCCATCAATCACATAGCACACTTCTAGTGAAAAATAGTGCTTCCAGAATTGCTGCATGAACCAGACATTCTTCTGAGTGAAATTCCATTTCACAGAGTATTAGCAGAGTTACAGCTATGGAATTTTACTTTGTAAATCTGGTGCCATATCAAGGCCCTGATCCAGCTCGTGAGTCTTGTAGCTATTCTTCCCATTAAAGGCTTTCAAGATTCACTTTCATACAAAACAATTACAAATTCTAAATAATTCCTTTAAGAATGTAAGCCTAGACTATGTGGATCTTGAATAGCCCTAAAAATTTGATCTGTGTAGGGCTGTCTCTTTTCAAACGCTATACACCAGCCAATAAGAACGACATGACAGGTCTTTCCAACTATGGGAAATGATCAACATCAAAACCAAAAAGTTTCCACTGCACTTTACAGATCGGCATAACTGGAAGAACAGGAGCTGGGAAATCTACTCTTGCTCTGGGATTGCTGCGATTAGTAGAAGCTGCAGAAGGAGCAATCCTAATTGATGGACAAGATATTGCTCAACTAGGTCTCCATGACCTTAGAACCAAGATAACTGTAATTCCCCAGGTATGAAATTAATTTCTAGAATGCTTCAGCAGAGCTGAAAGTCATAACACATAGTAAAGGTTCAGAGAAATTCTAGGAGGGAGGGACATTGAAAGATTTCAAAGTTGGAACTAACCTCTATGCCATGCTAGTCTCCCATCCAATATAACATTAGCAACAGATTTGCACCCAGCAGAGAAAACCAGAGAGCTCATTTTTATAATTAATTTCAGGAGTTGTTTGTGTCTCTGTGCTCAGGATCCCGTTTTGTTTTCTGGCACTCTAAGAATGAATCTTGACCCATTAAACCAATACACTGATGCAGACATCTGGACTGCTTTGGAATTGACTCAGCTCAAGAACTTTGTTGCAGATTTTCCAGATCAGTTGGAATATAAGTGCACTGACAGAGGGGAAAACCTAAGGTACCTTATCTTCAAAAAGACAGTGATAGGGTAGTGCCAGCCGGTGGGCTAAGAGGATGTCCTAGACAAGGAGTCTAATTTGCAATGAATAAATTAAATGGGAAGGGGGTGAGAGGAAACAATGGTCAGACGGCAAATTGCCTCATAATTTGCCTAATCAATAGCATGAAATCAAATTATTAAGATGCCGAGTAGAAAACTTTTGAGACTTAATCACTGTGTTGGCTTATGTTTGTGCAGTGCTTCGTGCACTGAAATCCTACTCCAAGTAGGGATCTTGTGGGTGCTGCAGTAATACACACCTTTCATTTCCTTAGCTTGTTTCATGCTGTTATCAGCAGTGCCACCAGCCTCAATCAGCCTTTCAGGGAAAGGGAACAATGACCCTTTCATTACTGTTTTCAAACTAATCATGTAGTCTGACCCCAAGGAAAAGTGACTGCTGCTCTTCATTTACTATCTTCCTTCTTACTTGCAGTGCTGGTCAGAAGCAGCTGGTTTGTCTGGCCAGAGCACTTCTTCAGAAAGCCAAAGTCCTCATTCTAGATGAGGCCACAGCCGCAGTAGACTTAGAAACTGATCTTCAGATTCAGTCTGCCCTGAGGACTCACTTCAAGGAGAGCACAGTGTTAACAATAGCTCACCGGATAAACACCATCATGGACTGTGACAGGTAATACCTTCAGCCACTTTCCTAACGAGGAAGGAAAACTCGGGCAACCTGTATGAACTAGACAAATAACTCAGTATTAGTGAACAACAATTCCATGTCTGTCCTTTTCTTGCTTAACGCTCAAAGCTTTGCTTTTGATCTTAGGTGTTTTTACATCAACGAGGCACCAGCAGTAGGTTAATCAAAGATTTCATGCCATATCCTAACTTGTATTTTTTTTTTAATGCACTGACAGCTAAACAATGGCTATTTGTTTAGCTGTCAGTGTCTTTGTCATTTTGTCTTTGTTTCCTCTTAAAATCATACAGGTAAAATACACGTTCACCTGTAAAACTTGGTTGAATACCAAGCTAGTACTGAGATTTACTTTAGAAATAAGTAGAAATCACTTAAGTTTATTGCTGTTGTTGGTGTTCCCCCAGGCTTACATGTCTGTTTTAATGTTCACAGGATTTTAGTCTTGGATAATGGCCAGATATCTGAATTTGATACTCCGGAACAATTAATAGCTCAGAAGGGACTGTTCTACAGACTAATGGAAGAATCTGGTCTTGCCTGACTGACTCATGGAATACACCGTAATGCCATCACCATCAGGAATAATTGATCTCTTAATTGAGTTATTACCTTGGTTTCATTCTAAAATGACAGGCGTGCCACCACATCTTGTTTGAGCTATAACTGCAATGGGTAGATGAAAAAGGATGACTTGGGATACAGGTTGTTTCCTTAGGAAACTTAGTAATTCCATTTTCATTATGTTTCCAAATACCCAAACCTCACTCTTCTGTTGAGAGTGAGAGCCAGAAAGCAAACAACTTATTGCTGTTATGGTATAAAACCAAACAAACTAAAAGAAAAAGACCACAGCATTTCCCATTTGTGCTATAAATGGAGCCCAAATACACTGCCATATTTCAGGATTGCACAGGTTATTTTTAAAAGCAACCACATTTCATAGAGAACAAGAATTTAACTGGTAGCAAGCAAACAACATTTACAACTTGTCCTAAGTTTCAGACAGGACAAATTCAACCTTTTGCAAATGTTTTAGGACTGCTCACACAAGCACTGTTCTCACAGATGTGGTGGCCTCCAAGGCAGCAGCTGGATCTAGTTATCCAAAGTGCAGAAACCCTGGGGGAGTAGGGGAGAGAACGTGGGATGCCACTAAGTACAAGAGCATATGGCTGCCTCTTGTCACAGCTGGTGATTAGATCTGCTCTATTTCCCTCCACGTCCGCTTTGGATGCTACCTGGATGAATCATGTTGGGTGGAAGGCTGACAGCTTAGACACAAGCTTGCTGACACAGGAAAAGAGCAACTGAGCTGGTGGGTGGGCAGCAGAATATCATTCATTGCATTTGGAGGCTTGGAGCAGCCCTGGAGTGTCCCTGCTGACAAACTGTGGTTGGTCACAGCGGAGTGTGTCTGAGCTCTTGGTACCTCTATTTCCTAATTGAATTTGGTCATGAGGAACTTATGTGGCAGCCTCCTTCTCTAACCCATGGTTCATTCCTGGCTGTTTCTGTAAGTTTACCTGCTGTGCGTGTCTCCCTGGCACTGCAGAACCTCTGGCACGGTGAATCTTTCAGATGTTACTTTAACAAACCAGAACAGCATCCAGAAGGAAAACCTTTCCAAGCTTCTCACAGTGCTGGGGGCTGCTGTCAGAGCTGCTCCCAAGTCTCTCCTCTGGGATTGCAACAAGAAAATGTGACGAACAAATCACACAGCAAGTTACTGCTGTTTACCATGACTTCTTGAAGCATTTCATTTTCTAGAAAGCTGAAATAAAAATTGAATCAAGTATTAAAGTGGCTCAAATGAGGAGTAATGGTGGAGGGGATGGGAGAACTCAAACCAGCAAGGGTTAACCCAGACCAGCAAAACCCAGAAGTTTCTTTTCCAACAGCTGTTCAGTAGCCACTTCACCCATATTAGGAGCAGCTAAAAATTTCTAGTGGAGAAGTACTTAAGATAAGTCTAATGCCCGCTGCCATATAGGTGTTAAAATACTAGGAAGGAAGCCTTCTGTTTTTTTTTTTGTACTTTCTCCAAACCAGTATCTGTGGTTAAACAGAGTACCTTACTCAAGGGCAGAGCCAGAAGGGTTCAAACAGGTAAGTCACGAGTACCCTAAAGGCTGATCACAGGATCTAAAACCAGAAGTATTTAAAACTAGTGAGATGCAAGTTATGTGTTTTAACTGTGGTCAAAAAGAAATAGAAGTTCTGGTGTTGCTGGGCAGTTCTGAAACAGACATCTTTTAACATACTGTAATCTCTGGTATAAACATCTTTTAAATACTCACTTTCCGTTCCTAAGTTGGTAATGAAGGAAAAAGTCAACAGGAGAAAATAATCAAAACATACTTTAACACTGGTAACCTTTGAACAGGCACTGTTTAGCTGTTGGCTTGCACAACTGAACAGCGAGCAAAAATACCAGCAGCTTCCACACATAAAGCTGTGCGGTAAGGGCAAAAGAAAAAGGATTGCCAAGATCACATGGCACCAGAGAAAGATCAACCTGTTTCAGACGAGTAGGAGTCCCCCAACTTTATGTCCAAGCATTACTGTAAGTGACAAATAAGCAACTCAAATCTCACAAAAAAAGTGTTTGTTTTTTTTTCTTTTGAATTGAATGAGCTCTTCTAGAATGTAGGACACATTCCACATTGCAGGAAACAATGTCAGCCAGGATGTATCAACATGCATCAAAATCTGATGTAGTAAATTCAGATGAGATGTTTTTACACTTCTATATTAACATATTTATTGCAAACATATATGTTAATAACAGCAACAGTAGCTTCACAGGCACTGCAGTGGCACACACATTAAAGCTGTAAACTGGAAGATAGACCACTGCAGGAGCTAGATGATTTCAAGTGAAGGTAGCGGGCTGTAATATCAGCAGTCCCTGCTGGATGGCGCCAAACTCTTGTATTCGATGTCATGTGCCATTATGCCAGATACCACTTACCAAGTCTTGAAAGTGCCCCAAGTACTCAATGAGCATTAGGTATGCACACAGCAATGAAGTGGTGTGCAAGCACAATGGTATGCAAGCACAATGAAAACAGATTAAATAAGGAAAACGTTCTGACTTTATTGCCAGTTTCTAAGACCTTACCTTGCAGCAAGTTACATCATTTTCTGCAATTGTTCCCAATAGCAATGCCTGCAGGGCTCAGCACATGGGCCTCTCCTAGCTGAAACTCCATCTCTCACTGCTGTGCTGTTCCTACCTCAAGGCACCCCAAAGACTATACAACACTGCTAGCACACACAGGTTCTGGGGGAAGAAAGCTGTATTCATTATCTTTGTGTGCAGTAAAGGTTAATTTACACTGATCTTCATAATGTATAATGTAATTTTGCTCAAGTCACATTCAGACAACATAGTCACGTGTAATCGGGATCATGAATCAATGCAGCAATAGCACAAAGCACTTGTGGGCGTTCAGGGCGAACAGAAAAGTGTGTCTGCTCCAGAGCTGGGGCAGAACGATTTGTGCCAGCAAGCGCATGAATATATAAAACTGGGAGAACAATGACACATATTAATAACTACAGCATTGAAAAAGAACAAGACAAACACACAACAAGCAGTCTTCTGGCCCCTTGTTGCACTATTTATATGGTTATCTGCAAAATACAGACAGCCTTTTGGACACACAGTGCCCTGAATGTCGCATGCAGCCCATGAATAGGACTGAGAATATGCAGTGACATCTTCTAGTGTACCCAGCTGGACACAGCAAGTGCAGTTTAAGTCATTTTTACTTGCGCAACTTCACTGCAAACAACGCAGCAGAAGCTTAGCTCTACAAGTTCTGTATTTCAAACAGATCTTGCTCCCAAGCAGTTTCATTGCTTTCACAGGACTTACTTGTACAAATAGGTTAAGGTTTTTAAACCTCAGTTAATCAGCATACATTTAGACACCTTTAGGAACCTCTTGCTGTGCATTAGGAATTCCATTTGCTCCGGTCCTTTCACCCTTTCATCCATCACAAGGCTTCAAAAACCTTAGGTGATTTGAAAAGCCAAAACCTACCACTCCTCCCCAAACTCCCAAACCACTCCTTCCACATTCCACTCCCATGAAGGAAGTTAACAGCAAGCCACCACTCAGGACATGTGGCAGACAAAGGACATGGACAGCACGGACAAAGGATCTTCTCCACAGCATCAATAAATCCTCCTGCACTGATCTATTGTTATTACTTGTCTGCTCAGCAAACTGCAGCGTTCAAATTACAAAACAAAGTATGAGATGTGATCCACCCTACCACATCAGTTATTCGCACTCAAGGTTTCTTAGCCACTTCAACAATCCCCAAGCATCAGTCCTTGCAAGCCTTACTTACCAGTATTCACGTCCCAGTAATTTCTGTTGTCAAGGAAAAGAGGAAAAAAACTGCCATAGTTGACCCTGTCAACTACAATGCAAGAAATGACATGCCACTTTATCTTTCAAACTTTTTTTACTGCAAGTTCTTTGCAAATATTTGTATAGTCATTACAAAAAAATACCAAAGAAAATTTCAGTCTATTCAATTTCAGAATCATAATTTACAAAAAAATAAATAGCTTTACTCTAAAGAAGACAACTGTCTAGCATTAATATCAGCAACATCAAGTCCACATTCCCAGAGTACTGAACAGTTGGGTCCATCTGGCTTAGTTTGCCTTCTTCCAGCATTTTCCTTTAATATAAGACTAATTATAACATAAGAAACGCAACTTTTTTCCTTTCCACAAAAAACTGAACATTCAAGCAAAGATCTTGCAAATCAGACTCCACTGCTGATTGAATTCTTAGACCCCTCTAACACACAACGTAAAAACAGTAACACAGTTCTTTGCTTTTTGTTTTTGGGGTTTTTGTGTTGTGTTTTTTTTTTTAATCTACTGTAACAGAACAGTTTCTCAGAAAATTTAAGAGTCAACAGCAGCAGCATGAAGGGCATGTATCTTTGTCATAAGGCTAATGGTCCTTGATGTGGTAGAGTTTTTATTAAAGCACAGAACTCCTAAAGCCAAGGGTATTACAATCAGTATAACGCTGAGCCTGCAACCTCTGCTCAAACAAATCCTGACTTCTCAGTCTAGTCCCCCCAGGCGTAACCAGGACTCTCCACCCAAGTCAGAGTTCCTGAGTGAACCAGGTGTAAAACCAGGTACTGCACACTGCAACATACTAACTGCTGCAAGAGTTTGGTTTTGGAGTGATTGTCATTCCAAACATGCTTAAATACTGTTTTGAAGCTGACTGTGCTTCTTCACATCAGCACTACTGACACAGTCTGGTGAACTTGCTGCTGTACACTGTAAACACATGTGAAACCTTTAGGAGAATGCATAAAAGCATTAACCATGTACAGTAAATGCCATAATGAGAAAATCTGGCACGCATTATTTCACAAGAAAAAAATCTTTGGACTATAGGACTATATGCCACAAAATGTTCCGAGTGCATCCCACAATAGATGGCTCATCAAATGAGGAATCAGCAAACAAGCAAATAGCTAGCATTTGCAGAAATACTTTAAACAAAAAAGGGGCTTCCAAACATAAGGGCAGATGAAAAGAAAAAGCTTCTCTGAACTTCTCTGGTGAATCACTCCACCTTATATTTGAGCATATAATGACAGATGTCAGGCAAGAAGAACTAAAAGTCTTTGAAGTGCTCTTGCACAATGTATGCACTTATAAAGCTGGCTAAAATCAATAGAAAGGAAAAGAAAAAAATATTGCATTTTTACGTTACTTCCATTGCTGTGCTCTGGCTGACTTCATTAGGTCTGAAACTGAACTGTACAATTCATAACAGCCCAGGGGAAGTCATAGTTCTTTGAATGTATCATCTCCTTTTTCCCCATCATTTTCAAATCCTACACCAATCCTGAATCTTTGGCCATGCTATAGAAAATGCCTTTTTCCTGAAGGAGGCTGTCTGGGCTACCACACTCCACCACTTCGCCTCTGTCCAGGACTAAAACTCTGTAAAACAAGGATAAAACAAAAGAAGTGGTCACAAGCAGGTCAGTCCAGAATGCCAAAGAGAACAGATGTATGTGTACACACAGAAATTGACTGTAGCACAGCCTCTACATGTAAGGAAAGACAGTCCAGACTGTATGAGTGAATGGAGGTTTTCACCTCTGTCCTTCCAGATGGCTTTCCTGGTCTACTTCTTACATAGCATACGCTTACCTGGTCATTTGCCAGCCGACATAGACTTTTGAGCATGCTTTGAGCCAACCAGAAACTAGGTGGCAGCACTTTCTCTCAAAGTAAGAGAGCCCCTGAGACCTTCCAAATCTGGAACACCATTGCCCTAACACCGTACCACATCCGCTGCTGTTAGATTCTGCTGATAAACTACCAACACAGACATAGCTTGTGCAAAGCAAAGGTACAGCTGTAATTTGGAAATTCACTATGCAAGTCACTGTAGTCAAAGTTAGTTCTTGGTACAAGTGCTGCCCTTCGGCTACCTCCACCAACTGGCTCGGAACTGCACAGATGCTGCCCAGGCCCTTAAGCAGGTGCTGCTGCCTGGTGTTTCTGGCTGCAGTGACTGAATTGGGTGTTAATCTGGTGGCAGTGCTGCTGGTGCTGTGCCTGGCGCAGGCAAAGCTCTTGTCTCTTATCTTTCACTATTGACAGTGCAAAGAAAGGTCTACGAAAGTACACAATCTTATCAGTGGTCACTTTGCTCTCTGCCACAATGTGATAAAAAGGACAAGAGAGCTTAAGACTGAAGTTATAAGACAAAAACTCTGCCCTCAATCACACCACTG